AAAGAAGTTATTTTAAAATATGACTCTCTATTTGATCAAATACATGCAGCCTTGGTGAGCAAAAGAGACGTCTTTCAAAAACATTTTTAAAAAACTCCAAACATCAGCCTTAAATGGTCATCATTTACTCATCAGCTTGTCGTTCCAAACCTCTAAGCCTTCCGTTCATCATCGGAACACAAATGAAGGTCTTTTTGATGAAATCCTATAGCTCCTGGTTTGAAACAAGCGGGTTTAACTTAAGCGTCTGGTGGTGCGTTCCGGCCCACCACTGGTTTTTAGGTGTTAAGACGCACACTTGGTTCCATATAGTTGGAGAAGGTGTTGTATAACTCGAATCCCTGAGCCGGAGGCAGAGAGCAAGAATAACCTAAAATCTGCACTAATGCTCTGTGTGTATGTGTTTGGCGCACAAGCTTGAATTAACTGGCATTGCCATAGTAACGGATGTCTCGTGGGTCCAGGTCTGATTGTCCCAAGACAGGGATTGAATGGCCTCTGTACCCTCCGAGGACCTGTGCAGGCTGGGGTCTCCTGCAGCGGCTGGGTCACGGAGACCTCTTCATCTGAGTTGAGCTCAGGGCAGCCTACACTTCCTGCATGTGGGCCTGTCGATATAATGAAGTTTATATATTTTACAAAATGTTCATCCCTAGTTTGTTTTTAAATGTTGGCTTGGTCTTTGTATCTCTCGGTCTTTGTCTGTCTTCCCTCCTTGTACTTAATTCTCTTCCTTCACTCTCAGTCTCAGTAAGGCTCGGCAACATACACGGATTGGATCACTGGAAATTTGACTGCACTGTGATGTCACAGGCTGTGTCGCTTGCTGATTGGTGGGGGGATGGGGGCACAGCATTCGCTGTGGGCACAGGCAGGCAGAGATGGCAGGAGGGTTGTCAGAAACAGAGAGACAGCATTGATGCATCAAGGTCTTCTCTATGCTCCTCTTGGTTCTGAGTGAGGCTCTGACTCCATGTCGTGTTTTGCTCTGGTCTGGGAGGCCTCTGGTAGAACTTGTACTCATTAAATAAGCAGGAAAGAGGTGCGGCTCTAGTCTTACACACTGATAGATACAGTCAGACGCACATGGCTGAGTGAGTCTCAGATGGAGTGGAAGATTCATGTGTATGTCAGGGATTTGATCCACAATCAATGATTTTAGTTCCAAAGTTCTTGAGATCCCAACAAGTCCCCTTGTAGTCGATAATTGTATCCCTTAAAGCTTAACTTTGATCACCAAAATGCCATATTTAAACGTTTTTCTTTTTCCAGTTAAAGAAAATGTATTCATGCCTTAAAATAGCTTGAATGTGACTCTATAGAGAAACGTGGGCGCCGTCATCTTTAGAATATTTTATTTGAACTTCCGGGTTTTGCGGTCGCTCTGTATATCTCTATGGCATCGCTGTCGAGGAGTAATTAGCTGGTGAAGTGGATTTACTTATTGTAGAGTTAACCAAAGTTATCATGAGCATTGTAATGTTTATCATATGCATTGTAAAGCAGATGTCTTTACAAATGTCGACCCGGAATTTTTTTTTACGAGCAGTTCATTCATACCTATGGTAGATCGCTGTGGAAATACAGACCGGAAGTCAAAAGACAACGAGCACAGCGCTGAAAAGGGGCTGGGCTTCATTAGGTCTATACCCTTGCTTCATTTAGTATGAATATGCACATGAGCCCCGCCATCGCTCTCTACAATGTCAGACTCAAAATGGTAATTAATATGATCAGCCTTTGGCTTGACTACATTATCAAACAGCTAATAATGTGTTGCTAATGTTACATGATGACCCCGTGTTCCCGTTCGCCATCTCAGGCCTTCTAACAATCAGCATCCTTAGAAACGCTTTAAAAAACTTACATCGTCCGTGGAGAAAGGCATGCAGTTCATTAAAACATGATTGTAACATGCATAATTCACCTGCTAATTTGCTAAATGTACCAGGTTTTGAATGAAAAATATAGCGAGATAACCTGGCTTCTCTTGAGACTCCCCTGTTTTGGAGTTAATGATACGCTAAAGCCCTCCCGCACATTGACGTGATTGGTTAAAGGGTAGTTTGGGATGTAAGAAATGCCAGCGATTTCAAACCAATTTTTTTTTTTTCACTGCAGTTTTAAGGAGAAAATACTCATCGTTGGTGTTGACTTATGAATTTGCACATGGTTTGTCTTAAAGCATATTAAAAACAACACGTATACAGATAAACAACATTAAAAACCACTTGGGGTCTTTAAGCTGTACACTTTAGGCAGCAAATGACATTCGTAAGATTAACAGCTCATTTTACTACTCAATCCGTTTTATTTATAAATTGCTTGTTTTTTTTTGCATATTTAAAAAAAAAATAGTACTCTTAGTTTTGTTGTACTACGCCAAAGTCTCTGACTACGCTTGGCTGTTTTTAATGCGAGAATGCATCCGGTCCCCGTTGGAAGTTGAAAGTGTGCATTGCCAAGGACCCTAAATATGATGACACTTATTAATACAGAAGTGCAAGAGCTGCAAATTTGATTTGTGTATGTGTGTGTATATATATATAGTTTCAATATGCTTTAAAAATCCTAAACAGTACATAGAAAATATCACATCTAATTTGTTGGTGTTTGTGTTAGTTTATTTTCAGCTGTAGTAGACCACTGTGCATACTGTAACATCTGTCTGAAAGTCTGAGTAAAGTGCTGCAGACCAGCCAGCATACACTTCTTGTTCTTGGTGGAAGAAAAAACAACAAACAAGAGCATACAGGAACCTCCCAGTTTTTCCAAGACAACATATTAGGTCATCAAGAACCAAAGTCACTTCCTCTCTCTTTATAGCCAATGGTGCCATAGACAGAATTTTTTGAACTGGACATATGAAGGGCCAGCACTGTGTTCTCTCCAGGCCTGACTGTATAAAGTGACAAGTCACAAGAAGCTTTTTATTTAATTTAAATCCAAGTTTCATCAGCTGTGACCACAACGAGTGGTTGCTTGGTTTCTTTTTCTTTGGCATTGCGCTGGGCAGCCCACCCACTATAACATGTCATTGGTCTAAAATCCTGCTTCACATAATAAAACATTAGAGGTGCAGTAAGCGATTTTCTTTTCTCATATAAAAAACTTAAACTTGAAAGTTGTTTCTACACAGTTTCATTTTAGTGTAGCCTTTCAAAAATCCTGAAGTTTAGTTCCACTTGTTTTTTGTCATTTAAATTCTCAGCAAATTCAACCATTTTGATGTATGAGTAAACAGACTTCTCTATGAAACAGGAAGTGTAGTCCCACATGGCTGTGTTACCAAACACTGAGTTTGCAAACGTGTTTTTGCCAGACTTGGTGTTCTGGTCCCCCCACCCCCCCGAAACCATGGGATTACTGTTGTAGCGTTTGTGTGTGTGTGTATTTATGCCGTCTGCCGTATGCGGGGTGTAATCTGCCAGAGGTCCTGGCACACACAGGGTTAAGACCAGGCACCCCACCAAGCCTGAGGGTTGCGGGGGACGTCCCGCAGAGTCGTAAGCCTCCAAAGAGCCCACACGCCCTGGAGCAAGGCCAACAGCACACGCACCGAACACAAACACACACAGAAACATCAAGAAAGGAGGGGTGACACAAGAAAGACTGAGAGAATCCGTAGGAGAGTCAATGACATAAAAGCGATAATAATTTTTATCACGTGCTACTGTAAGTTCTTAAAAATTATGTTTTTACACAGCATTTCATCCGTAAATGCTGTTCCGTTTTAATTTAATTTTAACGAATCCTCATGTTATTCAAGTAGAAAGTATGTCCCTTATGCCCCGAATACGAATAGATGTGAATGTGCAGTTTTTAAGTATTGACAATTTTTAATTTTCAAGGTAAATTATTTATTGATAAATATTGTTGTTACATGACATTATACTCCCTGAACTAACCTGGCTTTGTATCAAAAGTTCTTGACCTTGACACTGTCATGAGAGTCCACAGTGGTTCTCTCTATGATATCATTTCCTGTTCTGTTTATTTTTTTATTTTTTTGCATGTCAGTTGATTTACATGATTTTGTTGGTCTTAAAGGGCTACTTTGTCCAAAAATGAAATGAAAAATCTCATGTCATTCCAAACCTGTAAGCGTTTCGTTCATCTTCGAAACACAGATGAAGATCTGTAAAAGAAATCGGAGAGGATTTCTGTTCCTCCACTGTCAGGCTACGCAACTGAAGTGCAAGTTGATGAATGTATGTATGTGAATAAAAGCCTAAATTCAATCTGTTGTTGTTCATATTAAGCAATCATGTCTCTTCAGAAAATTTGGACTAAACCGCTCAATTCATATTACAATCACTTTATGAACTTTTTGAAGTGTCACAATGGTAGTAGAGTGGAAATAATGGAGGAACAGAAATCTCTTAGATTTCATTAAAAATATTTTCATTTGTGTTTTGAAGATGATCGAAAGTCTACAGTTTTGGAACGACATGAGGGTGAGTAATTGATGTCAGAATTTTTAATTAATTATTAATTTAGAAAAAAAAAGTCTTTATAAAACCAGAGCGGTTGTATCTTCCGGAGTCCCTGACACCTGTGATTTGATGAATCTGACTTTGAATTATATATATATTTTTTAAAATTCACAAATTAAAAACATGCTGATTATAGAAGAGCTGTGTGTTTAAATTGCATTCTATTGAATTAATTGATGTAGGGCAACAAAATGAGCGTCATGTCTAAGTAGTTGGCCTGTTTTGCCTGTGACAGTCCTGATACTGGTATGTCGTTTGGTGCCAGTCAAAAGTGGGCACTGAAGGTTATATATGAGGTTGAGTTACAAACGCCATAGCTTTTCACAGTGTCGCCAAACGCAGCCGCGGCTCCTGTCATGTAGCCCAACGGAAAGTGCTCTGTTTAGTCTCTGAAACAGTCCGGTAAGCCTCAGCAGGTGTGTGAGTGTGACAGGAGATGCTGCCTGTCGATGACAGACTGGAGGTGTGTGAACACTAACGCTTGGTTTCTTTCTCTCCTCACAGATTATGTTTATTTCGAAAACTCCTCCAGTAACCCACTGCTGATCAGGCGAATAGAGGAACTCAACAAGGTGAGTGACAAACGAATGTGTGTGTTGCTAAAAGCCAATCGAAAAGACTGTAGGATTGTAGCCAAGTTGCAGCATTCTTCTAGTGAGTTGAAGCACTAATATAACCTAAATATAAATATAAAGTGAATATAAGCTAAATTGAAATAATGAAAAAATTGCTTAAATTAAAATGAAAACAAAAAATATCAAATTAAAAGCTATTTCAAAATATGAAAAAAATACTATCATGGGAAAATAAGACTGGAAGACAAATGATAGATTTATATGAGAAACAAAACAAAATAATTAGCTTTCTCTGTTAGGTTTGGTGAGTAATTTCCGATTCAGGAAGACATCGTTCTTTTGAGTCCTTTTAAATCTGAATCATAGGTTTTAAGCCTAACCCTGAACGATGGATTCGCTAATTGAACTGATTCAGTTTGTTAATTTACCACACTAACTAAATCAGAGTCGGTGTCAAAAATGTTGATCTCACACCTTGAAGAGTCATATGGACCATTTTTCTGGTGCTATTTGTCTCATTCACTTTCATTGCTTTTGTGTTCCAAAAGACGTAAATCTTACCGTTTTGTAACAGCATGATGAGTAAATGATGAAAGAATTACGAATTCTTTATGACAAGCTTCAGGTTTGCACTTCGCTTGGAAAAACACATACCTAAATGACTGGCAAATCTCAAAGCTACAGTTTCCTGACTTTTTTTTTTTTTTTTTTTGTTCTCACCGTGCTCACACTTTCAATCCTTCTCCTCTAACATCACACTGCTCCCCCTTCTGCCCTCCTTATCTTCTCTTCATCACGAGATCCTCTCAAATCACCCAGGAAGTGCAGAGGTGTTTAGGTCACGGTTATGGTTTAGTCCCCAGTTTGCATATTGAGGCTTCCCCAGCAGCTGATTGGTCTAGAAGCTGTTGCTGTGACAACTCTGTTTCCGTTTGCAGACGGCGAATGGGAACGTGGAGGCCAAAGTGGTGTGTTTTTACCGACGCAGAGACATCTCTACAACGCTCATCACCCTCGCGGATAAGCATGCACGTGAGTAGTTGTGAGACTGCTTTACCCACAATGCTTTGAGCTGACCGTTCATAAAAATAGATTTGACTTTGGAAAGCACTTAGTTTGGAGTGACGCATGAACAAGTTTGTTCCTTGAGGTTTTGTTGTTATTTGGTTTACACCCTTTGAACCTAGGATGATTTTGTCTTTTTTCTTTTGTTTTAAATTGACATCAATTAAAATTTAACTTTTATAATATAATAATTTGCTCAGTTTTGGTTTGTGTCTTGCTGTCTACTACCCCTACATAGACAGCCAACATTTAAGGATGCATCCTATCTGAAAATGGAACCTTGTTACATGATGTGATTTTGGGGCAAAATTAGGTATATTTTAGCACTTTATTAGGCTAAATAATTCTGGAGTGCAGCTAATGCTTCCTTGTACAGCTGTCTTCCAGTTTGTTGGCCACCCACAAGCAGCTCACCAAACCGGACGTTTTTTTTCCGAGACATCTGCCTGGTGGCTGTTATCATACAGAGATGAAATAAAAATGTCTGTTTATCCCATGTGAACGTTTCTAATATTTAATTAATTTGCTTTAGAAATGCACCTGTTTTCAATATTTATTTTCAGACATCTCATATTGAACGATACGTTTTTCTTCTTCAAAGGGGTCATGAACTGGCTTTTTAAATTTTATTATATTGTTGTCTGAGGTCAGCTTATGACGTTCGCTTGGTTTTTGCATTCAAAAACATCAAAATGAATAAGTAATAGGCTATTTTGTACCATAGTTTTGAGTCTAGCTGAAAAACGATCGGTTTTCATGGGCGTCTCATAGTGAAGACTTGGAAGTAAACGCCCACTGCTGTGAGTGGATAACAGTTTTGCATATTATAATGAGTTTCAACTCACCCGTCGATGAACTTGGGGGAAATTGTTTCGAAAATGTCCAATGTTGTAAAATGGCAATCCGAATGATTCATCCATACATGTTCGACCCAGAGTCCGTGTGTTGCACAATTCCTGTCAGATCCATTATAGACGGCACAGCACCGTTCTTTACTCTTAAACAGTCTGCAAATCCAGTCTTGTTTACAAAACAATCCTCAGTGAAATTAAACGAGCAGACGGACGATGTTTTACCCTCATCAGCTGGAACGTCATTAAAAATAAAGTTTATCCATGCAGTCATATTGGAATCCAGAGGAAGCATATGCAGCGACTCTTCTTCCACAACCGGGCCCTGGACAATGTTTTGTATTGCTCGGTAGCTCGATCCGGTTTGTCATCACGAGGTAGGCCTATGTTATTTAGCTATGCGTGTAATGCGCGAATCAGTGGGCGGGGCTAAACCGGCCATTTTGAAGTAGGCGTTGATCTTCTTCTATGGGGGTTGGGTTTTATCCTCTTTGACGTCATAGTTCCCCACTTCCCCACACAAAAAACGAGTCGTTTGCTGAGGCTGGTGTCAATAAAAGCTTTTTTTGACTAACAAGTATGTTTTCAGTTCTGAAACATACAGGATATTCTTATAATATGATGACCTCTTAGATGACCTATAAATTTCCCCCCTGGGGATTAATAAAGTAATAAAGTAAAGTAAAGTAAGTAAGTCAAAAGCTCAAGGAAAATTTGATTTCTCAGACAATTGATTTCTTTGATCAGATTTCTTTCAACAACACGAGGGTGAGACTATTTTCATTTTTGGGCTAACCCTTTACCTCAATTTTAAGTTCAATAAACACAAAATTTAGGTTTCTTACTTTAAGTTAAATCAACAACATTTTTTTACAGTGTGCGTGGAACAGATAAGGAGGTATTTTGCAGAATGTCGTTGCTGCTCCATAGAATAATGGCATATAGGATATTCCATAAAGCGAATGAGCAGTGCTGTCAAATCCAAGTGACAAAAGGCAGCAAAAAATGTGATCCCGTGATTATCATTAGCGTCGGACTTGGTGCCACACTTCTTTTTGGAGCTCTACATCCCTGGTTCCCATTCACTTACATTGTATGGAAAAGAGCATCCTAGATATTCTTCAAAAGATCTCCTTTATTGTCCCATGGAAGGAAGTTGCGGGCGTGAGAGCGAGTAAATGATGAGAGATTTTTCATTATGGAGTAAACTAAGCCTTAAAATCTTGTTAGAGGTGCAGACAAAAAGCCGCAAGATAACTGTCTTGTCCATTATGTAATGGTAATGTTCAGATGATTGACAGCCGTTAAAACACCTTGAATGAAAAGAGAATCTGTTCCTGTTGTGAGCAGAACCTTCCTCCAAAATGGCTGCTGTAGAGATTTATCAGCAGAAGGGCATCTAAGCACAGGGTTAGACAGTGCTTGTGCGTATAAAAGAGTTTTCATCTTTTGTCCGCATGCAGCACACAAGTCTGATTCTGAGACCATGAAGCCTGTTTGTTCATGTGGACCACACAGATGCAGTGAAGAGGAACTCTCTCTCTCTATATGTGTGTGTGTGTGTGTGTGTTATGGACCTCTCCTCAATGCCAGCAGCCTCTCCGTGGACCTTCAGACATTTGCAATATGTGAAAAATGCATGGCAGGAATGGTCGTTCACCGCATGGGTGTGGGCTACATCCTGTCTCTGCCTTTGGAAAAGGGAAAGGGAGTTAAAGAATGAGTGGAAGAGTGGAAGGAAAAAGGAAAGTCACCAAGTGGAGGGAGAATGAAGGAAAAGCCGCACCGATGAAAAGAGGAAGACACAAGTTCAGTGCCGGCTGGAAGTCGTCTCATGCGCCTTCATGAAAGTTACAGGCAGCGACTCGGCCCATTGTGCGTTATTAGAGCACTTCCTTCCTTCCTTCCTTCCTTCCTTCTTTTTTCTTTCTTTCGTTATTCTTTCCTTTTGTCCCCACATCATTCCTTACATTTTCTTTCTTTCTTTCTTTCTTTCTTTCTTTCTTTCTTTCTTTCCATCCCCACATCCTTCCTTGCATCTCCTCATCCTTTCTTTCGTTTATTCTTTCTTTATTTCGTCATTCCTTCCTTCCTTACGTGTCTGTATCTGTTCTTTCTTTCTTATGTCATTTCTTCCTTCCTTCCGTCCCCACATCCTTCCTTACATCTCCTCTTTCTTTCTTTCTTTCTTTCTTTCTTTCTTTCTTTCTTTCTTTCTTTCTTTCTTTCTTTCTTTCTTTCTTTCTTATGTCCTTTCTTATGCACAGTTGTGGAAGGAATGGTGGTTTTTGCTTTAGCATTGGAATACGTATTTTGGAGTGGTTTTGGAGTGATTTATGACAGAAATGTAATTATTGATATTAATATCAAAGCTATGATATGAAGTTCTGAGGATCAAATAAAGTTGTTGTGAAAAACTCAAAAAACTTTCTTATGTCCTTTCTTTCTTTCATCATTTCTTTTTTTCTTTCGTCATTTCTTTCTTATGTCATTTCTCCCCATTCCTTCCTTCATTCCTTCCTTCCTTCCCTCCTTCCTTCTCTGTACAGACGGGTATGACTCTTATTTCCTGCAGAGATTATAGAAATTTTGTAGGAAGTTTCTAGTTCTCTTTGACCCTTGATATAAATCAACAGAGCTTTTGGTGTGTAAACTTCAGGTCTCCAGTGTCGGAGGAGTCAGCAGCGTGCTGGTGCTGTGACTCACAGATGAAATATTTTGCTCTCTGTGATGCTGGCTCCGCCTCGCTGGGCCGTGAGAGCATGAGGCAGCGAGGCGCCATGTGTGCCGAGAGAGAGAGAGAGAGAGAGAGACCTGACTCTGCTGTGAACTACTCACTGGAATCACCTCACTCGTTGGCCTCAGCCACTCCACTTGTTTGTGCTTTCTGCTCGACCTCTTGGTACCGAGTACAACAGCTTTGAGTCACAGCTGTCGGTGTGAGCTGTGTTTGTGTGTTTTACATGTCTTCCTGAACTGGAAGGGCAAAATAAACAGAGAGCTGTTGGAAAAAGACACCGGAATTCATCTCCGTATCATCTCATGTCCTTGTCAACAGAAAGGTTGTGCATGGTGTGGGTTTATATGAACACGTTGGACACGAGTCTTTGTATGGTGTCATTCTCCTCTTACCACTGTGAAATATCCACTGCAATAATGTTACCAGACCTACCTTGAGTATAACCGTAGTTTTTGCGTTAATGACGTCTAAAAAAAGAGACCTGACGTTTATCTTGAGTGTTTTTTTTTTTGGCAATTTTTTAAAATTATTCAGTCTCATCTACTGACCAGTTTGCAAGATATGAGACATAAATGATCATATGAATGTTTTTATGACGTATGTAAACATATGCATCATGGCACTGCGCAAGGTATTTTTGAATACAATTGAGAAACTAGTCGGATTCAAGCATTTACATACATTATTTCAGGTCTACACCACCCCTTTAAATCCAATCATATTTGAATTTGGATCAAGTTCAATCGGATAGATTGAGATGTTTTCATGAAGTCTTTTCAGTCTGTGTTAGTCTGATTACTATCAGATTATTTGCGTCACATGATCCCTCAGAAATCAAATTTGTGCTCAAGAAACTTTTCTCAACATTTCACTCAAAAACGGTTATGCTGCTTAATATTTTTGCTGAAACCGTGATGCATACTATTTTTTTCAGGATTCCCTTCAGACTCCAAATTCACACCTCTTGTGAACCGTTAACTTTGTTTTTGCTGTTGTGGTAGATTCACTAGTTCGCAGTGCTACCGCTGAATAGTGATGCAGGAAACACTGTCAAAGTGTTTTAGTACAGAGTTCTGTCTTCATCAGTGCAAGGATCAAGACACTGAAGAACCATTAAAGGAGTAGTCCCCTTTTAAACTCACCCCCGTGTCATCCAAGATGTCCATGTCATTTCTTTCTTCAGTCGAAAAGAAATTAAGTTTTTTGATGAAAACATTCAAGGATTTTTCTCCATATAATGGACTTCAATGGGAACCAAACGGTTCAAGGTCCAAAAGTGCGAACTGCAAACTGTTCAAAGGGCTTTAAACGATTCCAGACCATGAATAAGGGTCTTATTAAGCGAAACGATCAGTCATTTAAATGGTCGCCTTGCTCTCTTCTGTGATGCACGTTCGTGACTCTCCTGTTTGAACTCGTTCATCAAAATGAACGAATCTTTTCCCGAGTCAATTCGTTCGTTTCGTTGAATTAACCAAATGACACGAAAAAAGATTTGTACATTTTGATAAAAGAGTTTGAACAGGAGAGTCACGAACGCACGTCACATAACAGAGCAATGAGCTTATAAAAATTAAACTTTGTGTTTTTTTGTTTTTTTCAATTGACCGATCGTTTCACTTGATAAGACCCTTATTCATCATCTGGAATCGTTTAAAGCCCTTCGAACAGTTTGCACTGAAACTGTCTTTTGGACCTTGAACCAATTGGAAAATCTTGGAATGTTTTCATCAAAAACCTTCATTTCTTTTCGACTGAAGAAAGAATGACATGGATATCTTGGATGACATGGGGTGAGTAAATTATCAGCGCAAGTTTTTTTAAAGTGAACTACTCCTTCAACCCAGTGTCCTAAATTCAGTATTGTTTGAAAATGAAGCAGCCCTGAACAAGAACGATTTCTTGGTGGTTCCCAACTTCACCTCTCTTCATTCTAGCACTCTTTTACCCTTTGATTAGAATACAACAAAGCTTGTTGCATGTAAACTAAAACAACTCGCATGAAATGCTTCCACACCAACAGATGAATGCAGACTTTCAAGAACTGCTAAACCAAATGCCTTAAAGCGTTCGAAAATGAAGCCCTTGTGGTTTTGATTCTCGACTCGACCTCCCTTCATTCCTCTTTTCTTCTCCTCCTCCCCCACCTGGTAAGGAGATTCATTCATCAATAATTGATAATTGGTGAAGACAGGTGAAATGGAGAGGTAATTTGTTGAGTGCAGGGCCAGATGATTGGGTTCTTTCTCTCCTTTTTTCTTTCCTTCTCAGAACTATGGAGTTTACTGAGTTCAGCTGCGATTCTCGGCGGCTCTCAAGGACGCAGCAGGCTGGTCTTAGCCAGAGGGCTGTTCCTCTCTCTCTCTCTCTCTCTTTTTCTCTTCATCTTTTCCCATTCACTCTCTTTGTTTCTGGCTCCATCTCGATCCCTTGCTCCGCGTGCACCTCAGCAGGGGTTGTCGATACTCCACGAGCAGCTGTAATAGAGTGGTCGCTGATGTGCAGCGCTGTAAAGTGACCGCTCGCTCGTGTTCGACGTAGTTTCAGATTTCTTAACGGCAAAATAAAACCGGATAGCACGTGACGGGTAGAGAGCAGTGGCATACGTGTGCTGGAGAGGGTGAGGAAGAGGAGGGAAGACTTATTGATTTTAGACAAACATCTTAACCATCCCTCGATTCTTTTTGTTCTTCTGCCTTTCCCTCCATCTCCATGTTTCTCCATCTGTCTCTCTCTCTTTCGCTAATGAAACTCCAAATGAATTGGAGCACGCTCACTGGTTTCTCTCCCTCCCATCCGACTCTCTCCCACTTATCATTCTCCGCCGCACTCTGCCTCCATACAGCACATATATGTGTGGTTTGTCAAGAGAGATGTGTCCTTTCTCTGTACCTACCTAGTAATTTTTTTAAGAGAAGGGTAATGATGTGTTTCCATAAACTGAATTAAGAGAAGCCGTCTGCTTCGCTTCGCTTCGCTCTCTTTTGGTTGCTCGCAGTCATTTTCACATTTACGGACGTTGCGTTTGATCAGTCTGTGTTTAAAAGATGTAGATTTAGGTTGGATGAATGGCCATCACAAACTCATTCACACTTTAATTTCTACTTTTCAGTCGAATTGTGAAGACGGACTGATTCCCTGATTAGGGTCTTTGTAGTGCTCCTTGTAGGTGTTTAACCCTACAATGCATGGGACATGAAATTTTCTAAATAGTTAGAAAATTATTATTCATTTTTAAGTGGAGAAGATTATTGGGATTTTTGACAAAATACATGAAAAATTGAGTTTAATAAAATGTGTTTAAGTATCATATTTTGGCTCATATAAGAAGATGTATTGAGAATATGAAGCTTATTCTCAATGAGAAAAACTCATCAATTTTAATAAGAGGTCCAATCTGAGCAAATATATGCAATTTGGTGCAGTTGCTGATTTTTCTATTGCCAAAAAGTAAGATGAAATTGTAATGTAAATCAATGAAATATTTATTACAGTATTGCTGATCAGTTGTCATTGTCTCCCAATGTAGTTTTAATTGTGGGGAGCAATACATAATAGCATATAAACCTTCCTCAATAGCCTGATGAATCCTATTTGATACTCTCATTTTAACATGTTTTTTTTCTAAAATAATCATTTGTGCGTAAAGAAAACCTCAGTTTTTTGTCCAGTAAGTGTTCATTTTGAAATATTACTATACCAATATAAAAGTTATTCATAAGTTTACTATAAAAATCAGTAAAGATTTCACCACATAGTAAAAGTTGCTTGTAAAACTGATGCTTTATACAGTATATCATATTGCATTACATCATAACATGTATCATACCAAATTATACAAAACTGCTTAAATTGGATAAAGAGGAAATGATTTGATCACACTTTACATTAGGCGTCTTTAACCACCATGTGTTTATGAAAAAAATAATTGATAATGTATACTGCACTTTGTTCATGTATTGCAAAACACTTTGGCATTTTGGCAAAACAGGTGGGATTCGGCTAAGGTAAGGGACGTGTAGGGCTATGGTCTGGTTTAAGGATGGGTTAAAGTACAGTATAAGAGAAGGTTCAATAGTGTAATTATACAATTCATTACAGAAATACATTTAAAAACACATAAATGTATGAAATAAGTGCATTGTATTAAAACTATACATTTAAATGTAAGTACATAGTTAAAGACTTAATATAAAGTGAGATCATTGGTTTGGAGTAAATTTTGTATGAGTTCATTCAAGAATATCTGAAAACCAATAATGTTCCAGTAGGTGGAAATGTTACAAGGGAGAAGGAAGAACTGTTGCTTCAAACAAAGCCATTTATTGTTTTCATGTTATGGCTAATATTAAAATCACATGCTGCTGTCATGGTGTCTATATATTATTCCTACTTTGATTGTATTTTTTTCAGGATGTCGAAATCTGCTGATTAGTATCAGCATACAGAATCACATTTTATCTTTTCTTTTCACTCATAGGAGAAATGGAGGAGGAGATGGAGAACCCCGAAATGGTGGATCTCCCAGAGATACAGAAGCATCAGCTGAGACACAGAGAGCTCTTCCTCTCTAGACAGCTGGAATCTCTGCCTGCGACACACATCAGGTAACCCACAAAAAGCTTTGTCGATATATACGTGTTCTCGCTTGCAGCCGACCAGACTCGCTCTCATTAGCGTCTGCGCTCATCCCGGCTCCTTTCAGTCTTTTTCATGTTCTGGCCTGATGGAATCCCCAGCACAGAACAGCGTTAGCCTCTCGTTCAGTCACGCTGCTCTTTCACTGGTACGATCCAGCAGAGAGCAGGTGAAGATTTTTGCTCAAGAGCTGGTGTATTTCATCAAGTCGTCTATACATGTGAATAGAACCATTTCATGAGTATGATGCCCACTTTTTTGGGGGGAAGTTGCTGGGTAATCAATGTTCTCAGGAAAGCAGCCCCTCAGCAGAAAACTACCAGATCACACTGGCCAGGTCACGTCTGCCTGGGATCGACTTGGATCTCACGAACAGTTTGTGGAGAAAGTCGGACTCAAGGGTGGAGCGAGCTTGGCCTTAATCCTTTCTGGATGAACGGGTTCTTCACTGTTTGGTGACGGGAGGTGGATGGCCAGCATCAAGCCTCTCGGGTTGGAACGATTAACCGAGTGACTCAATTTAAAATAATTGTTGATTAGCATTTTCCTCCTCTCTTACTGTACCATTTGCAGTGACTCAAAAAAAAAAACATGGACAAGGATACTCGCAGTGAATACCAAAAGAGGATTATGCTTGGAAACCTTTTCATTTAAAAATAGAGATAATTCACTTTAAAAGTTATTAAAATGTGACTGCGTTAACCACAACTATAGCTAATTAATAATGTTAAGTGCAGTATTTACTCCAATGTCACGTGAGGGCTTTGGCTACACTGCCAAAAACCTTTTCTTATTCAGTATTTTTTTTGTTTTGTTTTCCAGGACAATAAATATATTAAGTACTCCGCAAACAAGAGATTTATTTGTGAAAAATTATAGTTGAAATAGGCTTCATGGGAAGAAAGAAGTTCATAAAATTAACCTCTCTACGTTTTCTCTGATTTTTCTAACAACTGTCATTTTACTGATGAAGTATTTGATATTGTTTTAACGATATTTAGAATAAACTAGACAAATTTCAATGAGAAAAAGATTTTTTTTTTTTTTTTGCAGTGTAGCATTTAATTATATTTATAGCAAAAATATATATTTATGGTCCTTTTGCTACAATTCTTATTGATGCAAAACTTGCAAGAGGCCAGGCTATTTACTTTTGCATTTAACTTTGTTTTCTAGGTTTATTGGGTTCTGTCAGGAGTGCTAATTCATGCAAACTTAATAAAAAAAAGTACAAATAAATTTTTAAATGTTTGACTTAAGCATATTCTCTTGTAGGCTTGTATCTTAATATCTTGGGGACCAGTTTTTTTATTTTATTTATAAGTTTACAAACTTTATACATATTAAAACCTACTGACTGAAAGAAAATAACATTGTTTGATATTGCACTTTTTTTTAAATCTGACTGACTTCCTCAGTCAGATTACTTGAAAATCCTCAAAATAATTACCTTTTTAACCCCAAGCTCAGTCGGTGAGATTTAGATAAAATATTGTTAATGAATACACCTGTCTAACTACAACCAGGCAACAGTCACAGACACTGTTTGATTGTAACATTTACTGTTACGATTTGTTATGACTACCGTTACAAACATTTCACTATAGTACGAATCTCTGTCCAGCAGCTCTGTGAATGAACTGCGCAAAGTAATTGAGATCAGTTTAACGACATATGGGACTGAGGTTCAGTCCAACCAGCGTTAAAACTGTGTTATCTGTTGCGTTTTCAGGGGGAAATGCTGTGTTACACTTCTGAATGAGACGGAAGCCCTCAAGTCATATTTAGACAGAGAGGTGAGTGTCACAGCACTATGCCAAGGTGTTTGCACACATGTGCAAAATCTTTAGTTTGCATGAGTTTGCTTTTCACTCCGTTCACAGTCTGTCTTCAAGAGGGAAATGTTTATCTGACGTGTGTGTGTGTGTGTGTGTGAGAGAGAGAGCTAGTTTTGAGTCCCGATCCAAATGAATAATTCAGTGTGTTGACCCAGTATGTTCCTCCTCATATTTAGTAATGAGGAGACTGTAGACTCTACAGAGTAAAGCCAGTCCTCTAATGTCAAACGCTGGGCTTCACTGGTTCATTTGTCTGTTTGTTTATATTAAAAGAGAGAAACATGCTTTAAACGAGCATGCATGCACATAAGCTTCGTCAGCGAATTAAAAGTGTGCTGCACTTAATTGCCTGATATATTCACGGTGAAGTCCCTTTTCAAAAGAAGTTCGAAATACCTTATTTATATATAATATTATATTTATATAATATTTCTGTGTTTAAATGAATGTGGTTACACTTTCTTTTAAGGTGTCATTGTTACAGCTATACAGCTAAGCACTGAGTTATATTAAAGGTACAATATGTAATATTTTTGTAATAATAAATAGGGGTGTAACGATACCCTCATGTCACGATTCGATACATATCACGATACTGAACTCGCGATACTCCAAGACATAAAAGGTTAACAAAAAAGTACTGTTGATTAAAATGCTAACTTTGATATTACATTGTGGGTGTAAATGAGTAGGTTTGGACTTGGTGCTGGTAACCCAACGACAATGGTGACACCAAAATAAAAATATTCATGATTCTTAAGATGAAAATACAGAATTATTTAGATGAATAAATATAATATTTAATATATTTATTATAATTTTGGACACTTTTTACTGGTCAAGTAACATGTCATTTGGCATTATCAGGACCCACATATTCATATCAATATATCATATTCCCCCATTGCATTATTATACATTATAGTTAACATTATATATAGTAGTTTAATTTAGTACTACTGACACTGATTTTTGTATTGCGATATATTGTGCCACAATATTTTGTTACACCCCTAATAATAAAATATCCAAAAATCACTTGCACTTGTGATACATTTCAATTCAATTCAAGCACTTTATTTGTCCCCAGGGGGAAATTTGAAGGCACATTACAGTAGTTTACATAAGCACATTGCACAACCAACACTACATACCACATATCATTAAAAAACTTTACAAAGCGGACAACGGAGTCTGCTTCCCGAGGGTAGCCATTCAAACTCCGAAAACAAAATTTCGGAAGTTGAAAATTTCCTGAAGTTGTGTACTTACAATATCTTAAAAGTTCTGAGAAATTGAGAAATTCCCAATTTAAATTTTCACTTCTCGCCTGTCACCTCGCCTGTAATATCCGCGTTATCCCTGGTTTCCGCTCGTGCAGTACGAACTTAGTAACCATGGAGACAGACGTAGACAACAACATTACGTCTAGATGCAGTTATTTTCGAGATACCGAGCGCTCCACGTCCGTGACAAACTTGGACTTGTCAGAGCTCTTACATGTACTTTATTAGACAGGTGAGCAAATGTACATGCAACTAATCAATGTTATATATCTCAACATGATGACATTAGAATATGATCTGTATGTTATTCTAATGTTGTTCTAATGTTGAACAAACAATCACATAGAATAACATTATAACTTTCAACACACTCAAATGCAGCTTAGTGTGATAGTGTAGACCAAACTGACCTGTGTGAGTAATTCAACACTTGTGGGTAGTTTAGTTGAATTAAATGACCTTATACCTTTATATCTACGGGACTCGAGGGTGGTGACGTGCGAACCAGTTCTTTGTGTTTCGACAGCCAAAGAACCGGTTCTCGGCCAGGACAACTGGTTCCAAAGCGGGACCAACTCTTTGCTGGACTAGAACCGTTCTTTTACCACGTCACGCTTACGTTGGAGGCTGGGGTGGGTTTAGATGTGTCCTAAACATCTTTTCTGACCATAATAAAGGATCGCAAAGCCAGGAGAAACATTTGCAGAAACACGATGGAGTCCGCCTTTGTAATTCTTACGCTTGAAGTTAACGCAAGCGTTTCTATTTTTGTCATTTTTTTTTACTGAAGACATTATAAGCAAAGAAGAAAACAGTCACAATATAGAAGAAATAAATGGAAAGAAAAAAAGACACAAGACAGGGGTAACTTATCAGAAACGATTACATATCAAATGAAAAGATTATAAGATTTACATATTTCAATTGTTTTTAAAGCTTTCTTGGTAAACGAGTTGGAGATAATCCCAAAGTAATGTTGTATTTGCAAGCATTTCTAGTTAAGATGTATGGCGACGTACACGGTGACGTAACGACGTCGTTCCCTTTGCGCTGTCAAAAACAAATAGGTTCTGAACCGGTTCGCAAGTTGAACCAACTCCGAACCAACTTTGAACCAGCAACAGTTCCGAACCAGTTCTTTTTTTTGGTGGAAAAGGGATAACAGAAGGCGTTCCGGCAATTTCCCGGGATCAACGCGCTGTGTGAAAGGGGCTAAAGTGGCAGTACGACTATGTCACGAAAGTGTGAACTCGGAAGAAGACACGAGTGTTTAGGGTCACAGTGAAGCACAAATCCAAGCTTTACTTTTGTGTACTTTAGTGCTGGAGCCTAGACTTAATCAGGGTGTCTCTTGGTTTTGCAGGATGCCTTTTTCTACTCGCTGGTGTACGATCCTCAGCAGAAGACTCTGCTGGCTGATAAGGGCGAGATCAGAGTGGGCAATAAGTACCAGGCGGACATCACTGACCTCCTCAAAGAGGGTAAGATGTCTCTTCACCATATTGAGATAGACAGCCAAAGCTCTGAGCTCTTCAGATGAGACCACTAACATATTCAACACTATCTCTGCTTGTGTTTATCTCTTCGTATTAATATTCCATACAAATATGAACTGTTTTCAACATTAATTATCAGAAATTTGAGCCGCAAATCGGAATGTTAGAATGATTTTTGAAGGGTCATGTGACTAAAGATTGGAGTAATGATGCTGAAAATTCAGCTAAATGCCATCACAGGAACGAAGTACATTTTAAAATATATTTAAGAGTTATTTTAAATTGTAATAATATTTCACAATAGTACTGTTTTTATCTTAAATCATAAGAAAAAAAAAACATGATATCAAACTTTTGACTGGTTGTGTATATTTTATAATTATTATTATTTTGGATACAGAGTAGTGTTGTGGTGTTAAGTGTGTTGGTTTGATAGATAAAATGCTTTATTTTATGGTACACAAAAGGAAAAACTGTGGAAAATAAAATTGTAAGAACTAAATTGAGTTCACATTAAGCCTACTTCACACTACATGATTTTAAAACGTCGGGCTGAACTGTGCGGTTCACACTACATGACGTTTTGTCATGAAAAATCATGCGATAAAACGAACCAGAAATGACGCGAACACCACACGTGCCAATACCTAGCGAAGAAGACAAAGAACACAACACGCAAATATGGACATCAGACTGAAACTAGTGCTGCAAACTGTTTGCGCAATGATTTGCTCTATTTGCTCTAAGAAAAAAAACGCCAAAAAAATAAGATTTACCCGGTGACCTCAACCCATGCCTTTCTCTGATTGGCTGTAGCTCATGACATCATGAGCGTCGTGCGACAGCTCTGGATATCTAGCATGCAAGATATTTTTCTGGGCTCTTTCATACTAACAGGATTGATGAGCATTCATCGCCCGCTAATCTCCCGCGATTTGCACGCGATAACACCCTGACCAGCCGGCAAGCTCAACGATTTGCTAATAGAGAGCCTAAGTCCCTCCCCTTCCGGTCGACCACCTTGGGACCTTATTTCGGAAAAATATTGAATGGTAGTCAATGGCGAGAGACAACAAATATTTTGATCTCGTTTGAATTGTGCCCTGAATTACACATATGATGTTTGTCAATTTAAAAGATACATTTTAAAGTAAAGAAAGTCACAGTTTGATGTAAAACCGTTGAGGTATAAGACTGTGAAAATTCGTAATTACAAAGACTACAAACCCCAAAGGCGCACATTTTCTCTCAATGAATGAAGCTAACTTTACTGAGGCTAATGTCTGTCATTGTTTCTATAGTCTTACGTAACGTTACGCCGTCATGCATGAGTGTTTTGTACCAGACTGCACACACATGTTACTCTTCTGTTTTATGACAAACTGCGACGTTTTTGACTTTCAGAATTATCTTTTAAATTGACAAACATCATATGTGTAATTGAGGGAACAGTTCAGAGAGAATAAAAAGATAAGTTGTCTCTCGCCATTGACTACCATTCATATTTTTTCCGAAATAAGGTCCCATGAGCCGGAAGCTGAGGGGCGGGACTTAGGCTCTCTATCGGGCTCAAATCGGGTTTAAAATCATGTAGTGTGAATTGGGTCAATGTGTTGCAGTAGTGTTTTTTTTTCTCATATATGTATTGCATATGTTGTATTCTTCAAATGTATAAGAATATATTTCTTGGGTTCAAGTGATTCAATACTTTATTGTAACAAAGAATAACCATTTTGTGACAATCTTAGTATACTACACTTATAATGTCTGTGTTTCTCTATAGTGAGTATTTTATTTAATATTTTTTTATCTGTTTTGATTGTGTTTTGTTGATGTTTTGTTCCTTTTTTTGTTATTGGTGTTGTTTTCTTGCTTTTGGAAAAATAACGAAAATAAAAATATCATCTACTGTGAACTAGGCTTTAGATGAATGGTGGCTTCAGGAAGAAGATGAAGTAAAAGTCTCTTTTAAAAACAGTGTGCGTTCTGTAGTGAATGTGATCTGTGGCTGTTGTTTTGCAAGGAGAGAATGATGGTCGAGAGCTTGAGAAACTGGAGGAGAAGGTGTGGGATCCCAGCAGCCCCCTCATCGAGAAACAGATCGACCAGTTCCTCGTCGTGGCTCGGTAAGATTCTGCAGCGTGAGCGGTTTTGCTCCATTTTCCGTGTGCCAATCTGTTGTGAAAGAAACACTGAGTTTAAAAGACGATAAACAACAAAACCTCAACCATGAAATTCTGAAGATGCCTTTAATTTTGTTATTTCAAACTGCATATTTTGCTCAGTTCACTCCCTCACTCTCTTTCACATTTTTTCCCTCTTTTTCTCAAACTTCCCCAACCCCCCTCCGCTGCAGGTCTGTGGGTACGTTTGCGCGGGCTCTAGACTGCAGCAGTTCAGTTCGGCAGCCCAGTCTGCACATGAGCGCTGCGGCAGCCTCCAGAGACATCACACTGGTACGGCACATCTCATGTTCACACACTCCACACACTGCTGGAACACTTCACACTTTAGTTAAGCTCAGCAGGTTCATACCAATTAATGGCAGACATTTAAAAAAAAAAAAAGAAACCTTTTTGAATCACTTGTCCAATTTTGAAACTGGTTGTAAACGCTAATGGATTTTTTTATTTCTTGAATGCATGGTCAATTCATCATCTTCTAGTGTATTATGGCCAGATAATAGTAGTTGAAATTACTGTAAAATTACTATATGAATCCTGTCATGATAGAGTAGAGGTATAATAAATGACTCATTCTGAAATATCAAATGCAGCAATGCATAATCCTGATGCTCTTTAATCATATTATTTTCATCATTTTTTTTTTTTGGCGTGCTCATCTTTCCAAATCTCATCTCGTTATCTTTGTCATCGGATATTATTTAGCTTTGTCTGGTAAGCTGTAACATTACGATTTCAGCCACAACAACTTTCAGCTATAAATGCCATAAAATATCACGTTTGTTTTTTGTCTGAAAGAGAAAATAGCCTTGCAAATTTGAAGTGAAACAGTTGACATCTGATTACAGAACCAATGACGTGAAGCACAGTGCACATGGAAAGATCCAGGTTTAGTTAGATTTAATGTGACCGTTAAAAGATGAAATATTGATGGAAAAGAGATTGCTTTTACAGAATATATTGTTTTTTTGAGACGCACAGAATTCTCTGTATATCTTTAATCCAGTAAGATATGTGCATCTGCCCAACAATCTGGAAGCAAATTGCAGTCAAAATTCATTGTAATTCACAATTCAGTTTGTATTTACTTTTGATTTTATTTGCACATTAATAATGCTTGCATAGGTAGCCTTACTTGTTTGCCCATGCACTAGAGAGTGAAAGGCTATTTAAACCAGCATCTTGTGTTATACATGAAAACATAGAAACTTTTGTCCCTAAATATAAGAAAGGAACATAAGAGCCAGTTCCTCTTTTAAGGAGTTGTTTATATCAGCCAAAAATTAATTTAAGCTTGAGAGATTATTGTTGGTATTCTGTTCTGTACGTCATAATGGTCAACAAAAGCATCTTCTCAGTTTGTAGTAGTTTGCTTACAGTCAAAATTGCATTAAACAACACAGACTGAATAATTAAATGAATAACTAAATTGTACTCTTTAGGTTTATTAAATTTTTTTCAAAGTTCTTTGCATTGACATTATTCCATTGACACCAATTAAAGGTGCAGTGTGTGATTTTTAGCGACATCTAGCGGTTCGGTTGTGAGTTGCACTAAGGGCTCAGCCCACTGCTCACCCCTCCCTTTCGAAGAAGCTACGGTGGCTAAAACGGGACAAACATATCGTCGTTTGAGACAGCAGAGAATAGCCAGAGTAAACCAAGAGTGGGTGACATTGTCACTGTACCAAAGACACAGTCCATTATAAACCACATCATGGATAAAGTTTACAAAGCCATAGTCAGGTGAGGATCAAGGGTCTTAATACATAATATAATATCAGCTGATTTTCTCGCAAATGTAACCAGCACATTTCTCCCCACATAGCAAACCCATAATACAGAGAGGCAGAACAATAACATGAAACTATGCAACTATATATTTTTTCTAACTGGGTAGTAAAAGTTTTGCTGGCTAAATATGAGCTGTTACTGTGGCTGAATTGGTTAAAGCGTAAGGCATTGTTTATACATGAGCCTGCGCGGAAAAAATGACATTATTGTAACAGCACGAGCCTCTGCATCCCCTAGACACAATTTACTACACACAATAGGCTTTTTTCCACTCTGATTTTAAAATGCTTCCAATATCGACTTGTCGACCACGATCGACGGGTTGGTGATTCCTGTAACGTTACTGTTTTAAGGTCAATATGACCTCAATATGAGTACTACTCAGCTGTCTCACAAACGTAATCAGCACATTTATCCCCACTTATACCATGGTCTGGGTGAATACTCGATTCTGATTGGCTGCAGGGTGTCCGTTAAAAAGTGATAGAGGACACCTAGTAAAGTAGTTCTGGTGAAACTGCCTGTTTACCATTAGAAATGAATAAATAAATGCGCTGCCCACAACAGCTGTGAGTAACCATAGCAACAGGCAGTCAAAGTATCCGTTAACAATTTGCTCTATCAAAACAACATCTAACGTTAGTTAGATATTACATAGCCTACTAATACAACAATGAACGACTTCGTTATTTCTTTTTAAACATTTATGGAGAATATGACAACTTTGACGACTGGGATGCTGCTGAAGAAAGAAAAAATGTAAATAAAACGGAGAAACGTCGCAAAGAAAATTACACCGCTGCTGCTCTGAATGAGACCCTGTGGGAGTTTTACGCAGCAGTCCAGACAACCAAGGCAGGAGGAGAGTACAGCGTTTCAAGCCTAAGAAGCCTGTTTGATTAATTGTTTTTATGTGTAATTAAAAAAAAATAACTATGCCTACCTTTGTGTTTCATGAAAAAAAAAATGCATTTTGAACCTGAAGGGTTCTACAAGCTGAGCGGACTATAAATATCTCCGGTTGCTAAATAAACCAGGCGAGTTATTATTTGTAAAAAATTGATTTAGCCTAATTAAAATATAAACTAGCAGCTAATGTTTTAAAAATGTTTTATTTGGCAAGTGACCATGGTATAAGCGGGTTAATGCCTTCCGAGGTGTCCATTGTCAGGTTTTAATGGACTTCGGCGGAGGCAACCGTCCTCCGCTGCGCGTCGGCCGGTTCACGCCTCGCCGTCGTCCATTAAAACCTGACAATGGACACCTCGTCGGGCATTAACCCTTACATAGCAAAGCCATAACACAGTGAGGGAGAACTAAGCCACAAGGGAAAAGTCACTACACTCCTGCTGCTTCTCTTTCATGGTATGAACAAAACGCGCTCTGTAGTGCTGTCTGTTGGCGTTCGGCTACGGTAGAAACTTGGCATCACAATATGTCGACCTTCATAGAAGGGGGTGCCTGCTGTTATGTAGATAGAAATGTCTCATTCTAAGGTAATAAAAACATTACGGTTTATTAAGTAAGTTCTTTATACATAATTATGGATGTCATATTGCATTTCTGTTAATAGATACTCACAATTTTTACATATTGCACCTTTAATATATTATTTTATAATATGTTATATTATGAAATGTATACTTATTCAAAACAAAGGCTACTTTAATATGACTATTTTTGGTTTCAGCTTCTGTCTCAGTGTCCATAATTTTCAATTTTTATACATTTATTTTTATTTTTATTTTCAATTAATTTTTTTAATTTTGCTTAAATGTGAAGTGTGTCAAAGTGCGCCAAACAGAATTGGAAAAATAAGGACTATTACGAACTGGTTTCACGCAAGGTTATTATAGTTTTGCATTTTTCATTAGTTTTTATTTTTATTTCGTTTTGAATTTTTGTTTTCAAATTCAGTTTAGTTTTAATTAGTTTTAAAAGTGGGTTTACTAGTTTAGTTTAGTTTCTATTTTTTGAAAATGCTTAGTTTTAGTTTAGTTTTTATTAGTTTTAGTGTTAGTTTTAGTTTTTTTTTTGTAATTTGGGTTATTTGTCAGGGGCAAGGTTGAAAAAGGTCAGAAAAAGAATTGTGTAATAATAACTCAACACAAACATACATTTTTAGAAATATCTATTCAACATTAAAACCAAATGTATTGCCTACAATGTGAAATTCCTTTACTGTACCAACAATCTACATATTTTCTATATAAAAATCCCACAGCTTTACAATTTCGGTTACACTTTATTTCGATCACTTTAGACATTCTACTAATTATAAGTAACTTTTCAACTACATTTCAAGCAACTCTCATTAGAGTATTAGTATATTATAGTAGACTGTCAGTAGACTGTTAGATTATGGTTATTGTTAGGATTTGGGTTAGGAGAATAAGTTTACTTGTAGTAGACAAGTTACTTATAGTCAGTTGAATGTCTAAAGTGGACTATCGAAATAAAGTGTTACCGAGTAGAATAATGACATAACATTATTTAATATTTGAATCACAGCTTATAGAGTTTTGACATCGACAACCCTGCAGCATTTTACCTCAAAATTGCGACTAAGTTAACTTTTTTCTAACTTTTTCTACCCGCTTCTCGGGTCGACATTAACACACTGACAGAATTGTATTAAGAATTTATAATATTTGTACACCACCTTTTAATGTGTGATTGTGTAAAGATGTTCATGATGAGATACCAACCTTTCACGAACTTGCTTTCAACATTGATCGAACCCTCGTTGGCTCGTTTTCACGGAGACGCGGTGTGTACTGCATGGAGGGGGAGGGGCTGTGTGTGTAGGTGTGTGTGCACGCGCGCGTGCATGTGAGAGAGACGGAGGGAGAGCGTTACAGGGAAATGAAATGCAGTTGAACAAACACACTGCGTGTTTTAAATAACGTTAAAATTAACGGCATTGACAAAGACGAAAACTAAGGACATTTGCTCTATAATTTTATTTTATTTTAGTTAGTTTTGCAAACAGACATTACAGTTTTAGTTAGTTATAGTTTTTTTGTAATGGCTCGTTTTTATTTTTATTTCAGTTAACGACAGTTTTTTCCCATCTAGTTTTCGTTTTTTCGTTAGTTTTCGTTAACGATTATAACCTTGGTTTCACGAATACTTTGCCATTGGTCAGTCAATCAGATAGCCCTACACCAAACTCACTCAGACTCTGTCAGGATGCTCAAATGAACTCCATAATTTGGGTGGCAAAATGTGATTACAATGTAAAGTGCACAGTGATAATCACCATTAGATCAAGTAATCTCCACCAGGCGATTATGTAATAATTGCGACAGGCCTGTTGCCAGCTCTGTTCAGTCTCTGCCTATAGGATGTACGAGAAGAGCAGCAGAACAGGGTATTCACTCTCCTGCCACCCAACTCTGCCCGTTGTGTACAAAACATGAAGGAAAGGTGCCAGAGGGAAACATCCACATGCATAAACACACACTCTCGTGCTGCCCACACAGTTCCTCTTCATCTAGTGTCAGTGATGTGTTGTTCCCAGGGTTGAGGAATTCAGATTTTAGAGTTGCTTGACAACACCCTGCAAAAACAATGGAGATATTTTGTAACTGAGCCAACAAGTAATCGTGTTTTCTTATCTCAAATGCTTTATCTTCAGTTTCACGCCATGGACACGTTGCATAAGAACGGCTACGACATGACACGGGCCATCGCGGCGCTGGTACCTCAGGGTGGGCCGGTGCTCTGCAGGGATGAAATGGAGGAATGGAGCGCATCTGAAGCCAACTTGTTCGAGGAAGCGCTCGAGAAATACGGCAAAGACTTCACTGACATCCAGCAAGACTTTGTAAGTTCCTCCCAAGCAGTATTTATTTACATAAGCAGAAGAGTGATCAAATTGATTTGTGCTACAGAATAGTGTGGCTTTAGAAAGATCTGTGCAGCATATGCTAAGATAATTGTGGCAGTAATGACTGATAAACTGCCTTTGTTCAGGGGACAGTGAGTGTGCCAAGTGCATGTTTAACTCTGCCACCTGGTGGTTGATAGATGTATGTGCATTACTGAATGTTTTAGCTTTGGGCTTCCATCAGAGATGTCTACTTAGAGAAACAGGGAGGAGCCTGTCATGGAAAATGGGCACACCCTAAAGAAGTGAAGCAGCTTATTTAGGGACACAAAGGATGGGAAGTGGAACTGGATTTTTGTTTGCCATCATGACCAGATTTGCTCTAATAAGAGCAAGATAGATTCCTTAAAGGGAAATTCACCCTAAAATGAAAACAGTCATCATTTACTCACCTGTTTGGTGCTTTTATTTTATTTTTTTATTATTATTATTTCTTTATAACTCATATAACTTTCTTCTGTGGGAAAGTTTCTTGCAACAACAGTTTTCAAAGTGGAACACAAGTTCATATGACTCATTTTAAAATCTTAAGCCAGAAGAAAACTTTGTATATGAAACTCATCATAATCTAAACTTGCATTGAGCTGCACCTCAAGAGCCACTGCAATTGGATCAGTCAGTGATTTGGACTAATCCAATTAGTGAAACTGACTCGATGATCTAGTCATGGTGATTTCCAGTCGGTCGGTGCATGCTTTTTTTTTCCCTAAGAGCACACATAATCCTAAATTGAAACATTTAGAAGCACTTATGGGGTGCAATACAAATTTATCAAAATGTATCTGCCCAAACAGAAGTAACAAGAGTTTACGTTGAATTCAAAGTCAGATACAGTTCATCGTGTAATCAAAATACCAATAAAAACTGGCAAAAAAATAAATAAAATATATGCATGCAAGACTTTTAATTATAAACGAGGCTGAAATACACTAGGACTCTTATTTTGAAATGCTAATGCTTTACTGTTGCCGCCGGCTGCTCTATTGAAAAGATAAGGGAGATAAAATGTGTACTTTTACAACCATCTCCAACATATTACAACATAAAACACCATAAAGTCAACATTGTCATAATTCCTCAACAGTAGATCTTAAGGAGTCTATTGGCAATGTAAACAGCTCTAAAAACCTGTTGAATGCACAACAGAGGCTCATTTTTACTTTGAAACCTGCAGCTCTCATACTTATTTAATTAAATCATAGCCTTTTGAATTGTCTTGGTTTTCCATCCCTAAATTTAAGACCTCTTAAAATGATAATTAATACGTTTGTTATTTCATTTAAAATATTCAAACATTTTATTCGCACTCGTTCTCCTAAATACATTTTACAGTTCGCACAGATCTATTTTTAATAGCAAATGTGAATGAAACACTTGACCAATGTTTATATGTGAACTGTGAACTTATATGTGAGACTTTTGATTAAATCATTCGATTCATATGAATAACTTGCAATGTCTTTATGAGCATTTTGAAGCGTCAAAGTTTAGGTTTGCATGGAGGGACAGAAATCTCAGATTTCATTAAAAATATATTTTTTTTTGTTTCGAAGATGAATAAATGTCTTAGATAAATATATGAACTAAATAATGACAATTTCATTTTTTGATTGAACAAATATGGGGTTAAATGTCATAAACAGCCATTTTGTTAATGATTTTAGTGAATTATTCCTTCTAAATGACCTTTTTTTTTTATTACAGCTTCCTTGGAAGTCTCTAACCAGCATCATAGAGTATTACTACATGTGGAAGACCACAGACAGATACGTCCAGCAGGTAATACAACACGGCTGTCTCAAGTCTCTGTGTGCAGGTAGAGAACCTAGATAGTTTTCACACTGAGACTAACTGGTTCTTGTTTCATCCAGAAACGATTAAAAGCAGCTGAAGCTGAGAGCAAATTAAAGCAGGTTTACATCCCAAACTAGTGAGTCAAAGTTCAACCCTGGATTTAATTTCACCATAAGCTTTGAGTGCTTGCACTTTGACCAGATGAAATCCAGTAACCCTTGTTTGCTTTTTTCCTACAGTAACAAGCCCAACCCTAACCAATTAAGCATGAACAGTGTGAAACCAGGGCTGGTGAATGGAGCCGGCGCTCTTCCAGGAGCACCAGGCCAGCCCGTCGGATTGGGCCGCGCATGCGAGAGCTGTTACAGTGAGTATTTCACCGGCTGTCAATGTTAAAGGTGACATTAAACTGGAATATGAAAATGTATTCAAACTATTAAAATATGAAGATCCAAGTTTATGCCAATAAATGGGGCTGTATTGTGCTAAAAGCTGAAATCAATCAATAAATAATAATCTAGCATAAATCTTTGGCTTTTCCTGGGTGTCTGAACATGCAATTTAGGTGTAAGGTTAGCATCTTCGACACTCCTGCCCTCTTTAAATGCAAACTGCAAAGGATCAGAACTATCTTTATCTTGCTGTACAATTTGTCTCTTAAGTGCTTTCTCAAAAGACTTCAGAACTATTGAAGTAAGAGCTAGCCCTCCTTATATAAGATATAATCAATATCAATATTGGGATAACATGAATGTGTTCATGCATCATGATGACGAGAGTTAAGTATTTAAGCGCAAGAACATGCGAAAGGGAACTCAATTTGTTACTTTCCACGTTGCCAGTAAGCGCGCGCCCATAAATCCGCATCTCAAACAGCACGAATACAAAATTGAGCTCTTTCACTTCTTCTTGCACTTGAACAGACATTTTCAAACAAAATTAGTTCAAAATGCCTATCTTGGCAAATATCCTCATAAACAGGAGGTAATTATGTCTTAGGTGAATGTAAACCGTTGAGAACGAGTATATTGAATCTGTGCATTAGCTCTTAAAGTGACAGCAGTCTAATATTGCTGCTGCTGTCTTTTGTTGTTTTGATTAACATTTAAAGCACTTTGAATTTTAATCCACAAAATACAAAGAAAAATCACTCACTACTATAGACTGTCTAACTTTTGTAACTTTAATAAAAAAAATAATGTTTTAATGTTTCATGGCCGGTAAAAAAATATTAATGGTCTTTGTTATTAAGAAAAACCTTTATCGGTTTTGTTAGGAATAATAAAATCTGTACTGAGGTACATAAATCACACACCACTTCTGAAAGTTCATCAATATTTTCCGAAAGATTTTCTGTAATGGGCAACCATTTTGTGCCATCCTGTCTTTGGTCTGTTTTTGGTACCCTCGAACCCTCCTGAGAAGATGGGTCGTCTCGGTCCACTTGTTTGGTTTGTACAGGGGTTCAATGACATCGATCACAAATATTCAAATGAACCGCACTAACAGAGCAATCACACCAGAGTTTGTTTTAATTGAACCAAACCCACCAAGTCTGAACACACCCTAACACTAAAAAACTCCAACTAAAATGAGAAATGTTGCTTTGACACCTACCTAAAACTTAAATTATAGCCAAGTCGAAAGATTAAAATAATAATAATGACAAAAATATAAACTATAATAGTACATATAAAATATACAAAAGTAACACTGTTCTACATGTAAATTGTATCTGTTATTATTGGTTTACCTCTTTGCATAAGCAAGTCATAAGTAATGAAGCCCCTCCCTGTGCAGACTGAACTGAATACAATAAAGTAGCTTTATTTAGATAAGATCCTGTTTTCCATTGTGTTGGCTTTAATATTAGTTCAGGTCAAAGGTTAAACAACAGTGGGTGTTGGATGGCGCTTGATGCGTTTTGTTTTTGTGTGCAGCCACTAGCTCGTATCAGTGGTACTCATGGGGGCCGCCCAACATGCAGTGCCGACTGTGCGCCTCCTGCTGGACTTACTGGAAAAAATACGGAGGTCTGAAGATGCCAACCAGACTGGATGGAGAAAGGCCCGGACCCAACCGCAACAACATGGTGGGTGTGAAGTGGATTCTCTCCAAAGTCAATTCTCCACATGAAATTCTCTTTTTCTCCCCACGAGTCGCTTTTATTTAGTCTGTTTCTTCTTTTACTGTGCAATTCTGTTTTATTATGCCTCTTTGTGACTGTTAAATGAATGCCCTCCCTGAACGAGTGAATAAGCGAAACTTTGTCTTTCATTTATGTTTAAAAGTGGAATTTGTTCACTTCAACAGATTTTAAATGCAATATTTAGATGTAACTGTCACCCAGGACTTGACTTTCATCTCACTGTCTGTGTTCAGAGTCCTCACGGTCTGCCTGTGAGACACAGCGGAAGCCCAAAGTTTGCCGTTAAGACCAGACAGGCTTTTTTCCTGCACACGTCTCAGGTGACAAAAGCGGCCCGACGCGTCTGCCAGGACCTGTTGAGATCCAGATACTTGGCTAGACACCCGTACATACCTGTCAACACTGCCGCTATCAAAGCCGAGTGTGAGTATTTGCTGTCGGACATGACTGGAGTTGGAATTGCTCTGATGATATTTATTATGGAATTTATCTATGAATTGTGTGGTGATTTAATGTGTTTTTTTCTATAATAAATTGTGGTTTAATGTCAAATAAGACTGTCCAAGATTAGGAATGGGAAAGAAGGAAAATCTAGCTATTTAAAAAAATAAATCTAGCTTAAAACACATGCGCCAAGTACTTAGGGAAATGAACTTTTTGTATTTTTGTGTTGGTTTCATTTTATTTTCAAGAAAAGTTTACATTTAAATCAAGTAAAAAGTAATAGCTTCAAAATAAGGGTAAAATAAGGTTTCATTAGTTAACATGAACTAAGAATCAATAATACTTCCACAGCTTTTATGCATCTTAATTTTAATATTTACTAATACTAACACTCTGAGCTAACATGAACAAATGATGACTGACTGTACTTTATTAACTAATATTAACAAAAATGAATAAATATTGTAACAAATGTATTTCTCAATGTAAAGCTCAACTAAAGTAAACAAACGAAGCCTTATTGTAGCGTGAACAAAATCTTAATCATTATTTTCAAAAACATTTTAATGATGTTGTTCAAGGTAAAAAGTATTTTTTTTTTTTTTTTTACAAATGTTTAATTATTAATAAATATGATTTGAGGTTATAAAATGGCATCTTACAGCCTGAACTTTGTCATGAAAGTTATCATTTGGGACATTTACACAGTCATTAGGGTCTGCAGTGCTTTTTTCTGCATGTTGGCTGCACCATGTGACTGATTTGGTGAACTAATGTTTTTCAAATATTAATTTTTTCAATATTAACAATACATTTGAACAACTTTTAACAAAGAAATTACTATAAAATAAAATGCGTATCGGAATAAAAATAAAATAAAAAAGATACTAAGCTACTTCACTTAAATTCTTTTAAAGAGGCTTTTATTTTTTCATTAAGTTGTACTATTCTGATATTGTTTTGTCTTTACACCCCCCAAAAATCAAAAGATGATGAAAAGCATGCGTTGTTAGAGGTGTTTTCAAGTCTTGCAGAATAAACTAAAATGAGCTTTGCATCATTGACACTGGCCTGTACAATATTACCTTGTAAGTTTTCAATAAATAAGTACATATCATTTTAATACTGTTAAATGTGTATAAAAAATATAATATACATATTTCAGGTGCTGTGCGGTTGCCAGATTTGTCCAAAAAGCCGGCACCTCTAAAGCAAACAGTAAGAAAGCCTTTGGAGTCAGTGGTTCGATATCTGGGTGAGTGAAGCGGTCTTGTCCTCAAAAACTTTTACATTTGTTTTTATAAAGCAAACCCATTTTAATCATGTTTTATCCAAACACGTTCCAGAGGCCCACCCTTGCCCACCCAAACCAGATCCTCCACGAGGACCCACCATATCCATGGGCAGTCTGACGCCCATCAAATCCACACCCATCCTCAACAACGGCTCCCCAACCATCCTGGGCAAGCGCTCCTACGAGCAGCACAACGGCTTGGACGGTAAGCGATCGGGTTGTGTGTGAAAGACGCTCTTTCTGTGCTGCCCACACAACACACTCTCCTCCTACTCTTCTTGCCATGCCTCATTCACTTGTCTTAAACTCTCCCACTCTTTTCTCCACCAACCCCCATACAGGAAAATACACACACACACACACACACACACGCACGCACGTGCTACTTTAATCTCTGAATGGCTTTTAGGGTTGTCATGGTAACGGATCAGCAGTGACTCACATGGATCATTAGTCCTGCGGGAGATCAGACCCCAAAAACACAGAGTAAAGGCACTGTAAATGTCGATTCAAAAGGAGGGCTTCCCGAACACGTGGCACGGATGTTCGGAACACTTATGTATGCTCCCCTGTCACATTGTGCTTCATTACCCTCTTGTCTCTATGAAGGGATTGGAGAGAAACCAATGTTCAGCGGTTATATAAATTCCTGATGAGCTTGGCACCGTTCTGTCCGAAGCAGCGAATCCTTTTTCTTCACCCCATACTGATTTGTCAGATTGCTTTTTACATTTTGGGTCTTTATGCACTTATTGTTACAGTTGGTGTTATGTGATTTGTGATAAATGGCTCGTTTCCATGTTGCCGTCCTCAAATCTGGTCCTTTGTCATGTGAGCCGCATGTATTATGTAAAGGATTGGGTTAGCAGAAGAGTGCTTGTAGTACCTCTTAGAACCAATAGGGTGACATGACCCTTCATGAAACTAGTCTGAACTAGACAGTAGCTTTTTCTTTTCTTTTCTTTTCTTTTTTCCCCAAACGTAGTAAGCTGCCTTGATACTCTTCAAAGATAACTTCCTAACGAAAAAGTGACTGATTTGGAGTGCTGATCATAAGTAGCAGCTCCATGCGCCACATAAAAAGCTTTCTTTATGTGAGGCACGCACAACTCGACCAATTTATATTACATTCAATTATTTTTAAAATTTAGCTGCAAATACTTTTTACCAACATGTATAGAGGGTTTTTAAGTACCTCTTATCAAAATTAATATTTACAAATGCACACAATATATAATATACAATACATAATACAAATATATTATATTTTTGTGTAAATAAATTTTTATTTTACAATTAATATTTACAAATGCACTCACATCACAACACAATACAAACATGTACAGTATATATTTAATTTCTATGTAAACACGTTATATTTATGTATTTATTTTTGACAATATTTAGTAGTACTATTTAAGATCTATAGAGGGATTTATTGCTTCTCTTTTCACAGTTAATATTTACAAATGCACACATTAATTAATATACAGTACACAATACAAATATATGTACACACAACAAAAGTGAGTACACCCTAAGTGATAATAGCTGTACTGTATATTTAATGTATTTTCATTTTTATACTCTATTTTTATTAAAAAAAAAAAATTATTTTGACATTTAGCTGCAAATACTTCATTACCAATGTGTATAGATGGATTGATCTCCTCTCTTTCTCTTTATGTGTGTTAGGGCCTAAACCCAAAGTTCTGGCTCCACAATGGGAAATAATGGCCAAGAGGGTGTCTGAACAAAGCCGAACTCCCTCTGGCCTGCAGGATGAGGTTCACGAACTGGACTGACCTCTGCTTTGACGACTGTCTGCTATTGTTGACCAGATAAGCAGGTACGGATCTCCTGACTAGGACTGTAACTAACTATTATTTTGGTAATTGAGTAATTGGTCGATTATTTCAACGATTAATCGAATACATTTTATGTGGTAATAAAAATAGACCTAAGCAAACCTTTAGTGCTATGGTTGTTGTATTGTATTCTCCTGTGTTGGCATAGTGATTTACTTTTATAAGTGACTTACCAATGAACCCAGATGAACAATGAGCAACCCAAACTCACAGCATATGCAGAGATGGAGTTTGTTAATTGAGTTTCTGAATCAAAAAGCGGGCCAGACATTACACACGTTTCCAAACGCACGTTATTGGAAACCCAAACTCACAGTTTGCAGAGACTGAGTTCATGTGAAGCAACATTTACTGTGAACGGTGCTGCTTTGAGAAACACAACCTGCACGCATTTAATTAAAGCGTCACAATTCACTCTGAAACCTGCAGCGCATATACTTATTTAATTGAATCGCAGACTTCACAGTAGCACTATGCTATATTATGATTTGGAAGTGGTTGAAATGTATTGTGCAGCCTTATAAACGGTATAATAATACGATTCATGGATTCTCATACTTGAAATGAGCCACTCCACTTCAGATGCGACACAGTTAATCAAATTTATATGCATTTATTTTTTTTTCCCACAGGGAAATTTGTAGGTCATTGCAATAATTAAAATAACCCCTTCCGTCACATTTACAGATATAAAATATGGTTATACATTACCTTTCAAAAGTTTGCTTTAAAAATATATGTATATATTTTTTTATTTCTGCAAGGAAGCATTAAATTCATACAAAAGTGACAGTAAAAACATTTATGCCACAAAAGATTTTTATTTCAAATAAATGCTGTCCTTTTGAACTCTCTTCATCAAAGAATCCTGATTATTTTTTTTTTATACAAACAAACAACGTAAACCTCACAACTGTTTTCAACATTGATAAGAAGAAATGCTTCTTCAGCAGCAAATACAATCATCAGAATGATTTCTAAAGGAACATGTGACACTGAAGACTGGAGTAATGATGCTGAACATTCAGCTTTGCAATCACAGGAATAAATTACATTTTAAAATAAACTAAAATAGAAAAGCACATTGTAATTTATTTTAAATTGCAATAATATTTTGCAATATTGCCTTTTTTTCTGCATATTTTATCAAATAAATACAGCCTTGGTGAGCATGAGACATCAAAAACATTCAAAAATCTTACCAACTTCAAACTTCTGAATGGTATTGTTTATAATTTTTGTATTTTAAAATTCTCAAGAATATTAGTCTTTCTGGCCCATACTTAGTCTTTTTTTTATCATGTATCCCTTTCAACTAGGGCTATTTAGTGTGTAAGGTTAGTGTACAATTTATTTAATATACTGAATACTGCAATTTCTCAATAGGTGTCTTGCATTGTACTACAGACTCTGACAGCATCTCTATAACACTCGATTTCCAGGTGACTCGAGAGATTTTTTTTTCAACTCTCAGTGACGGGCGGACCTAAGAAAGGATCTGCGGTCAGAATGTCCTGTCCAAGAGACCCATTTTTACAGATGAAGCCATTGAAAAGACTGCAAAGCCCTGACGTCTCCATGGGTCCTCCTCCAACAGCCTGTGGCCAATCACAGGACTGACCTGATTGTACAGGACTGATTATTATTATTATTATTTACCATCAGCTGTTACTTCTGTCATTGTAATTATTATTATTATAATTATTACAATTATTATTAATGTTCTTTTTTATGAAGTATAACCATTTTCTTTTTAATGATTTGAGAAAATGTAAGAACGTTTCTTGCAACGGCTTGCTCCCAGTCCATGATGTAAAGGTGGGACGAACTGTCATTTTTTTGTCTCTTGCGTTGTTTTGTAACATGTCAGCTCTGCGTTGACGTGAAGGACTATATGACTTGTGTTTCTCTTCGTTTGGATGCTTGTGTTCTCTGGTTCTGTTAGCCCGTCCTGCCGCAGCAGTTTAAATTATTCAGAAAGACAACAAAACGTTCTTTTTCTACCTTTTTCACGAGTATTGCAACTGCTTCTCTATGTAATTTTTCTCTTTTGTGAATATGTAAATGAAAACAGGAGGAAGGCATTATTGTACAGTGGTGCATTTTGGGCCTTTTGGCGGTTATCAAAGCTTGTTGTAATGGATTTGCCATGCACAGCGTATTCTCTGAATTGTCATTTTGTAAGGCAACCTTCCTAGGTCTCTCCTGCATATACGGAGAGGTGATGGGAAATCTTAAAAGGTACTTCGCCATTAATACAATCATGCACCTTCTTAAGAATGAGCCTGAATGAGAGTGTGGTGTTCAAGTTTTTCCCCTCACATTTACACGCAGCTTTCAAAAACTAGACCAGGGATATGTGATACAACCCAGTTTACTCTGCTTATCAAATATTGATATCTTTAGGCCAACGCAGAGCATCTCAAACTCAACACACATTTTTCTTTTTTTATGAAATGTTGAAACAACAAGGCTTTATACACATACAACCGACTGAACTTGTAAACTGTCAACTTGGAAAATCTGCAACCAAAGACTGAGTTAACTGGTATCAAAAGCTTATTGATAGGATGTAACTGGGGAGTGATATGTTTTTATAGACCTGTTTTCATGAGCTACCATCATATCGAAAGCAGAGTAGGTTGTAGAATATCATCGAATTCCTTCCAAAACAGATGTTAAATAAGTCGCATGGGATGAAAAAAAAGAGACACTGGTTGTTATACAACAGATATCAGGCGAACAGAATTTTTATGTAGTTATTAAAGGGATATTTGACCCCAAAATGAAAATGCTGTCATTTGGGGCGTGAGGGGTCAACCTGTCACACACATTAGCATTAGCAGGAACGCTCACAATCCTTGGACAAAAGCAAGCCCATTCCGACTTTTTATTCCCCTCTTGTTATAGAAACCATTTCATTTGGATATGTGTGTGTCCCAATAAGGAAGAAAAGACTTCAGTTTTATGCTGACTTTAACGTGAAGTTATTTTTTTTCTATAAAGGATTGAAAACAGGGTTTTGTTTATAGCAGTAAAATCCAACTCAATCCAGGATTTGAATATTGGACACCTTGTAATTAATGTTTTAATTAAACCTAATTGTGATGCATTGCCATGCATTTTTAATTTTAAGTGATTTGTGTTTTATTATATTACTGGCACATACATTTGCAGAACCTTGTGTACGGTTGTTGTATTCACCCCTTGGCACTGGCCCTATTGGCCGTAATCTATTCTTATACTCCAGGGTCCAGTTGCATAAACATAACTGCTAAGTTAAGACTGTGACTGCATCCGAAAACTTAAAATGTTGCCTTCGGAGGACATGTCCCAAGGTAGAAAGCCGCCAAGGCACGTTGGTACTGTATATAATCCCTTCCTGTCTCTCCAGAGATACCTGTACCTGATCAATTTTTGAAGGCAGCATAGATGTATCCTTTGCTGCCATTGATATCCCACAATCGAAAAGGAATTTTTGATGAAAACATTCCAGGATTTTTCTCCATATAATGCACTTTAATAGGAACCAAACTGTTCAAGGTCCAAAAGACGGTTTCAGTGCAAACTGCAAACTGTTCAAAGGGCTATAAACGATAAAGGGTCTTATCGAGCGAAACGATTGCTCATTTAAAAGCAAGGTGACCATTTGAGCTTATAAAACTTGTTTATTTATTTTATTTTTTAAATGAGCGATTGTTTCACTTGATAAGGCCCTTATTCATCGTCTGGAATCGTTTGAAGCTCTTTGAACAGTTTGCACTGAAACTTTCTTTTGGACCTTGAACCGTTTGGCTCCCATTAAAGTCCATTATATGGAGAAAAATCCTGGGATTTTTTCCATCAAAAACCATTTCTTTTCGACTGAAGAAAGAAAGACATGGACATATTGGATGACGTGGGGGTGAGTAAATTATCAGCAAAAGATTTTTTTTAAAAGTGAATTACTCTTCACTTTGTGGTATGTTAGTATGTTTGTGGTATGTTAGTTAACATACCACTATTATAAAGTTATGGCAGAAATATTAAGTGTAAACAGGTGTTGTATCTAATTTCAACTCCTTGCCAAAATATTACCCCCTTGTTGAAGCCACTACCTTGGCTAATCCTAACGCCAGCACCTAATCATAAACCTAAACTGGGGATTAAGTGGATGATATAATCTGGCGTGGGTCAGAATTCAGAACAACCCCTGCTGTAGGGATATAGGCCCAATGTATGTTTCCATATCTCCTGTGAATTGGTTGTTTTCAAAGACTCATCATGTCTCAGTTCAGTACAATTTACAACTGGCTATACAAAAAAATAATTTACATAACTTGCTGACGTTTTAAATGCTATTAAAACCATGTCGGTTTCATACAGTCTCCTCTGTTAAAATTGCCAAGTCTTTCCGCATTTTATCAGTCAAATCATCGGTTCACTCTGTTCGCGGCTCATTACGATGCTCGATGGTTCTTGACTCAATTGAATCAATGAATTAGAACCGATTAAGTCCCATTCATAAACCAAGTCCAGAATTGTGAACCGATTCATCTAATTCATCACAAAGATCCGACTCAAAAGAACGATTCAATCCGTCGCCACTAGGTAGGCACTAGGCAGTGTTTTGAAACACAGCCGGTGTCATGTGCTGTTACTGCTGCAGTGGAGTAAAATATGTCAGTTATCACCGGACAGGAGCAAGAGGAGAGAGAGAGGCTGGTACAAACGCACTCTGAGAGGCAACCGGTGCAACGTTTCTCTGTAGAATTATATTGTTTTACACCAAAATGAGGCCCAGCTCCTCTTGATCTACAGCGGCGGAAGAATAATACGGTAAGTTAAGTCTCGCCGGCTTTTTGGTGTTCCAGTAAACCCGGGTATCCTGCATGGGTTATCCCACAATATACGCGTGACAGAGTCAAAGTAAACCGGTAACGTTACTATTCAGTGCACCTCTCTGAATGTTTTCTCGGGCATCAGCTAACGTTATAAATACGGACTTTTATCATCATTATCATCTAATAGGCGAACGAGGAAGTGCTGCCATCTCCATCGCTCATTTCATCCTAAACGTACTCATTTGCGCTGAAATCTTTAATTACGAATGAACTTGCTAAAGTTTGACCATGTACGATGCTGATTCTGCCTATGTTTCTTAGTGGTCAGATACGGTAACGATTGGGAACTTTATTTGACGTCGTTTTTTAAAACTAGGATAACTTGGAAGCGCAATGCTTCAGATTCATACTGTTATAAAAGCATAGTTTTGCGGTTTCATACAGTGGGATAGTACAGTTGTGTCTGGGCAGCGCTGCAGTGGTCGGTTGTCATGGAGGCCTGCGCTGCGCATCCGAACGGCGCAGCTGTCACGACTGCGGTATATTCGGTCTCATAAGATAGACCCTCAAATGCACACCTCCAAAATAATTCCTATGAACGTATCAGATATCAAATAAAGCTGCCTCATTCGCATCATATTTGATGACACTTCAGAAATAGACTGTATTTGTGACTAAACAGATCAAAGAGTTCAAGTTCTTCACACATATTATGGGTCAGTGTCTATAAACAGACCTTTGGCACTGGCACCTGACTTCTCCCCTCAGTCAACTACTACTATATAGCTGGGTGAAGCGTATTTAAATATGATACTTGCCCTTTAAGAGGTCGTTCCGGGATAGTTTGGATGGGTCAATATTTACTACGCTGACTCTGTCCTCATATTTCATAGCGATAAGCTGAAGCCCCACTTACATCAGCAGCGCGGGATCAAAGACATGCAAAGCTGACTTGATTAAAACTGGGGATTTGGTGTTTAGTGTGGCAGATCAGTTCCACTGCACTACAGGCAGTTTAACTTGTCCACATCTCAATCTTTCTTCTCAAAATAGCGTTTAGATGTGTAATTACGGTTGTCATTATTTTATTCTTCGTGGTGGAATCAAGTCTTGCCGTGTCAGTCTGTTTTAACATCACTGTGGCTTGGTGCAGTCATGTGACTAAGCCTCTATTAAGGCTCAGAAGTTGTTAATCTCTTTGGCACTGGCCCATGTCTGGGACATACTTGTGGTCCTTTTGGGTAATAATTTTGAGCTCTTGGGCTGCTTCATAATCACTTGAAGTAAAAAAAGTGTATAACAGGCCTGTCGACAGATTAGGACTGGGTGGTCCTGATCCAACATGAGCTTGGCCCACCCAGTTTTAGTTTAGGTTAACAATAACAAGTCTAGTGGCTCTATCCGTGTCAAATCAACCAAATTTTATAAACTTCCCTGGTGCAAATTTTTTATTTTGTCAATATTGTTTTATGATGAAAAGTTTCATAATGGATGTATACTGAATAATCCATTATTTTGTGGAGGGTGGTCAAAATGACTGTTTTCACCTGAGATTTTGGTGTCAAATTACAGGGGAGTAAAAATGACTTCCATTAGTAGGTCCATTTATGTCCATTAGTAAAATCTGTTGACTTTAGCAATCTTTGCTGCATTATATGCCAACGGTGACAGTTCAAAAATGGGAAAAGCACTTCTAGTGTTTTTGCTCAAAGTAACTCAAGAAGTATTAAATATCTCTTATTATCCCTTTAGATTCTGGTTCTTATCAATCTTTTCTTTTGTTATCCATATTTTTTAAGGCCCAATATAGTTCAATTCCAAAGATATTGAAATCTCAATGTGGCTCTAAGAGTAAATTGTTAAATTGTACACATTATTAGTGCTTAAAACCAAACGTCACTTTTCTTACAGCTGATACTTTTTTTCTTTCAAAGAGCAGCTGAAGAACATATAATGTTGAAACTACAAATTGTATTGTTTATTTCTGTCAAACAACATTACTGGGTGCCATAATATTGTTTTTCAGACATTTGCATACATGTAAAGTTAAACATATTAAAGATATCTCAATATGATTTTAGTTTCTGGATATTAACAAACTTGTCTTTTGAAATCTTAAATTTCAAGGCCCTGAGTGTTTCAATCCCAAAGATATGGGGATCTTAATGTGGCTTCATTTTCAATTTGTTGATTTTTTACCCATTTTCAATGGTCAAAGACCAATTGTGAGTCACTTGTCTTTGCATTTAGCTGATATTTACTCTATTTAAATTTTGTAAATACAACAAAAATAAATTCACATTTGTTTTTTGACCATTAAAAATGGGTAAAATTCAACAATCAATGGGATATAACCATATTTACCATGTTTACAAAAGAAAAGTTTATTAAGAATGAGAATATTGAGATATCTTTAATACTTTTTGAGTTAAGGGTGCGCAAATTTTGGAAAAACAATATTTATGGCACTCAGACAGGAATGTTCTATGTAGATATGTTGATAGGAAAAAAAAACAAGATACATGCTAGTTTCAAAATGATTTGTTCTTCATGTATTCCTCTTTAAAAGAAAAAAGTACCACTGAAATACCACTTAAAAGTACCACTGAAGTACCACTTTTGACCACTGAAAACATGTACAATTTACCAATTTACTCATGGAGCCACATTGAAATCCCCACATCTCTGGAAATGAACCATTTGGGCCTTAAAAATTAGATACTAAAAATAAAATAAAAATGGTTAAAAAAACACAATTTAAAAAAAAAAAGGATAATAAGAGATCTTTAATACTTCTTGAGTAACAGGCATGTAAACTTTGGGCAAAAAACACAAGAAGTGCTTTTCCCCATTTTTTTCTTAACTGTCACCATGGCATATAATGCACCAAAGATTGTTTAAGTCTCAAGATTTTACTAATAGACCTACCAATCACTTAAAAAAAAAAGATAAAATAAAAATAATGAAGCTACCATCTTTTTAAAGTCATTTTTATCCCCCTGTAATCTGGCTCCAAATCACAGGTGAATTATATATTGGAATATATAATTGATATTTAATTATGTATTGGAATCTGAAAATCACAAATAATAATTATTTAGCCACTCCCAATTACTAACAGCTTTCAGCTATTGTTATCCATTATGTTTCGTTTGTGCCTGATTAGGCGCATTTAACACGCTAATGATTGAAACACAGGTTGAATTGTCCGCCTCATGCTGAAGAATTTAATGAAACTCAACTGGTTCGGCCTCCTTCTGAAACATGATCATCATCACTTAACAGATCTTAGGAGGCTTATCAGCAGCACTGCTCATACCTGATGAGAAGAATGAAGGCTGTGTGCCAAGGTGCTATCTTGAGTAACTGAGCTGTGTGTGCTATTGATCCATTGCCATTTATATTTGTGCAGAGTGTAGTGAACTCGTGGCTGGAGACCAGAGCTCTCATCAGTCACCTCTACAAATTGCGGCAGTAAGAATGCATCAGAGCCGGTCATTCCAGTGCGGCAAAGGAGAAAGAAACAAATATTGTCCTTGTCATTGATGTGCCATTGTTCTCTTGGGAGGTGTGTGGTTGAAATTGACAAAGGAATCACAGAGTAAAAACAAACCGGGATAGTGTAGCCTTTATTATGTCTGAAATGATCATAATACTCAAATAGGCACTTAAAGGGACAGTTCACCAAAAAAAATATATATATATTTTGTAAAATGTTCAAGCTGCTCATTTATGTGGTGAAATGTCTTAAGTCTTATTAAATGAGTAAGTTATTTTAGTATTATTTATACACTATTATAATATGTATTACTATTTTGAATCAGCTTTTATTTTTATGTTTTTATTTTAGTCTTAGTATTTTTTGTGTTTTTATTTGTTTATTTTTATTTTAGTTGCCCAGGCAACATTAGTACACTGCCGTCCACGTGATGTTAAAGAAAACAGGACTCTTTGGACCGCGGGACCTTCTTTCACTGCTCCAAGGTCCATTTGTTGGGGCGTTCGACTGGTGGACAGGGGTCATCATAGGCACTCTGCGGTGTTGTGACACATTCCTCCCATAACCATCATTAAAATTTTGTGTGACTTGTGCCACAGTAGATCGACCTTCTGTTGGCTCAGACCAGACGGGATAGCCTTCATTGCTCTTGTGCATCGATGAGCCTTGGGCACGATGAACATCGATGAACACCCTGTCGCCGGTTTGTGGTTTGTCCCTGCTGACTGGGCGCAACCCACAAGCCTTGCCGCTTCAGAGGTACTTTGACCCAGCCGCCTTGCCATAACAATTTGGCGCTTGTCAAAGTCCCTGGCTTCAGATCTGTCCATTTCTCCATGTTGATTTCGAGAACCGATTGTTTGCTTACCATCTAAACTACCTAGACTTTGATATTTGGCCTTGTTAGGAGACGATGATATTCGTTTCACCTGTGACTGGTCATATTGTTTTGGCTCATCAGTGTATATTTTATTTTATTTTATTTCAGCTTTATTTTAATTACCAAAAATGGTAATGCCTAAGTTAAGTTTAATCAACAGTACTTGATGAAGTGGAATTTACTTTTTGTGGTAATCAACATTGTTTTCTTAAAAAAAAAGCAAAAATATGGGTTACAGCGCTGAGGCACTTACAATGGAAGTGAATGGGGTTGAGTTCACACTTATAGACTAAAGAGCAAGCATACTGTCCGAGGAAGGGCTCTGAGGTTGTAGACCATTTCACAAGATGTAAACAACACTGGTCCAGAAGCACTTCCTGTTTCAGTTTGTAACTGTTTTCTTTATTTCACATGTAAAGAAAACATCTTAAAGATGTTTGTTTAACTTTTTGATTCAGTTTTAAATGGTCTGTTGGTTGTATTTTATCCAGCTTTTATGTAGTGTTAAAAAACTGAAACAGGAAGTGCTTCTGGACCAGTGTTGTTTACATCTTGTGAACTGGTCTATTGTGGGCCGAACCCAGAGTACTCCCCTCCTGGGAGAGGAACAGTTGAGAGTGAGGAGTTTGAGTGGAGGAGGGATACTGGGTCATGGGACAGAGGTGAGTTGGCTATTTACCTGTATAAATTGGCCTCCTCGCTCTGATTGGGTAGATAATCTGAACGTTCTCCTATAAACTGTCTATAAAACATCATTAAAATACAATTTCAATTGATTGTAAACAATATAGAGTCTAAAGATGATTTTAGTAAAAAAAAAAAAAAAATCACCAACACAAACTAAACTTCCAAACCTTACAACCCCCACAAAACTGTAAAAAAAAAAAAAAATTCTCTTTGTAGTTATATATATATAATTTTCAAACTAAACTTCCAAACCTTACAACCACCACAAAACTGTAAAAAAAAAAAAAAAAATTCTCTTTGTAGTTATATATGTATAATTTTCAAACTAAACTTCCAAACCTTACAACCCCCCAAAAACTGTTAAAAAAAATAATTTGAACCGCTTTGCAGCTCAAACAATTAACAGAAGAATCAATATAAGTGCTTTTTAAGTAAAAGTGAAAGTGACATGATGGGAAGGCCAAGTATAATAACCCATACTCGGAATATGTCTTCTGCGTTCAACCCGTTCATTACGAGCAATGTGTAGTGAACACACACACACCCACACCTGCAAACCGTGGACACACACACACCCAGAGCAATGGGCAGCCATTTGCTGCAGCGCCCAGGGAGTGATTGGGTGTTAAGTGCTTTGCTCAAGGGAACTTCAGTCTTTTTCTGCCAGTATTGAGAATCGAACCTTCAGGTTACCAGCCTGACCAACCATTAGGCCACCACTGCCCTCTGCCTTTTACAAAATAAGTGTTACATTTCTGCTTTCAAGTCCTACTAATGCAAGATGCCCATTCACTTCCATTGTATGAGCCTTATTGCTTTTTTTTTTTTTTTTAAGAAAATTAGGGATAAATAATTGTTTGTGGTAATCAACCTAATGCCATGAAGGCTGTCGATTGAGCATTATTTGCTGAAACTGTCTATTTATTCAAATTTGGTGCACATTCTTACTGCACATTTCATGTATTTTGCCCTCGCTGAAAGGCAATTCCTTCAACCAGTTCCTCTTTTTATTGGTTGCACATTACACAATGATTCCCTGTCAGCTAGACAGAACCAATTCTCCTCATCCAGCGTCACATGATAAACCAGCACTTTCAGAAGTGGTTCTGCTTTGATGCTGATCTGTGCAGATGAGCTTGCATGTCTGTTTAGTATAGTGAAGGCCATGCTGACATCACTGACTGGTCTGTTCAGGTTGCAGAGAAGGTCAATAGAGGTTTGACAGGAGACGATCAATAGCAATGCTGACTGCAAGGCCAGTAAAAGAGGGGGATGGGATATAAACATGACATGTAAACACCGTAGCATGCACTGGGCTCTGTATCAGACACTTTTTAATGCCTTTAGGTTGTCCGGATGACTGAGCACTTCAATTGTGCCACAAGACCTGTGTCTTATCTCAATGCATAGATTAATATTTAATAATGGCCTTTCCATTAGCATGTATCACCCTTTTAGCAGTGTGCACTGCACTCTTCTGGAGTTACGCTGATAAAAACCTTTGGAGTTTTCAAGTATGAAATGCATTTTTAATCAAGTGTTATTTATAACACCTACAATCTCTCACTTTCTTTTTTGGTTTAAAAAAAACATTGGATAAAACAATGTCTATCAAAACAGTATTGTTTAAATGACTCGAACAAAAATTGTACAATAATGACTATATATTATGTAGACTATATATTATGACTATATATTATGTAGTACAATATAATATAATATAATAATACAAAACAATAGTGTAATCATAATATATATATATATATATATATATATATATATGAAGAGTTCAGATGCAAAAGCCTCTAAATGCCATTTGAAATTTTCTTCTTTAATGATGATTTTTATCAAACTTGTATATTTAAGTTCAGTAATTTCACTTAAATAAGAATTAATAGGTAATTACCATTGCCATTTAAGTGAAATCACTGAACTCAAATATACAAGCTTGATAAAAATGATCATTCTAGAAGGAAATTTTAAATGGCACTTAGAGGCTTTTGCATCTGAACTCTTCATATATATATATATATATATATATATATTATATATACAGTATGTATTGTATGTATAACCGTTCATTACCTTTTATTAATGTTTTCTTTGAAAGAAAATGAATACTTATATTTTAGCAAGGATGGATTAAATAAATCAAAATTTGCAGGAAATGCTTTTACATTGTTCTATTGTTCTAACATTTGTATATTCACACTTTCTGAAAAAAAATATTAAGCAGTACAACTGTTTTCAACATTGATATTAATAAGAAATGTTTCTTGGGTAAAAAATAATAATTTATGGAGGATAAATTGACAGTAAAGCGTTGCCATCATAGGAATAAATTACATTTTGAAATGCATTACAAAAATAAATAAATAATAATATTATCGTAATTATGATTAAAGAAAGAGCTTAATATACTTATTTAAGAAAACCTTAAAAAAGATCTTACAAACCCTAATTTTTTTAACGGTACTGTATGTATAAATATTGTAATGTATAATAATTAATTATATAAATATACCTTGACTACAATCAGATTCCCTCAAGAATCTCACAAAGGGAAATTTATTAAAATAGTTTTATAATTTTCCCTCAACAATGTATGTTAGCTTCCATCGCCAATTAATAAGACTAGGAGTCTTATTGTATCCATTACTTAATCCTATTGGACTGTATATTTATCAGATGTGTATTTTGCCACTGCTGGGGAACTAAGAGCTTTGCTTATAGTAAACTGAAGATTATCGGTCTGGAACTGTACCACTAAAGGGAAAATTTAGAGCTCAACTTGAACATTTGTATGGAAGAATATACACAGAAGCTTAACTTAACTTGTTTTGCACCTGTAACAATCCTTTAAAACAAAGGTAGTACTCGACTCAGTTAAACAGGATGTTAATGTTGATGACTTGTTTTTTTTATTTTTTATTTCAGTTCATGAGTACCAGACCGGCATCGGCAGCAGAACTCAGTACCGCTCCTCTTGGACTCTGACAGACGGTGTTGAGTGTGGACATTGAGACTGCCAGACCGCAGGTTGGGTAAAATCTGCAAAAATGATCTTTCCCTACATAACCTCTCCATCAAATAAATCCTCAGTATAGTAGTTTAGCCACAGTACAGCTTATATTAGCTTTTGTTCTTCCAATAGGCTTAGCAGATATATTTTTAGATGCGATACTACACTTGTTGTAAAAGTTTGTGTTCGTCCCTGGAGGTCTTAAAACTTAAAGACTTAAAGAGTCACTTGAGTTCCCATGATGCCCTTGGAGCAAGACACTTAACCTTCATGCTCCCAGACAGCTGACTGTTCCTAAATTGGCCTTCTGTTAAGCAGATTTGGCTGAGAAAAATATCAAGTAGCTAAAGTGAAATTGATAGCTCATAATGGGATCACACTCACCTCTAATTCAGTTGCACACACATCTCCAGCAACAGTTGAATATCAGAAAAGTCATAATTGCCTTAGAATTGACCAGTCATCTCATCTGTACAGTTTCACTATGATATTATTTGTACACAGATTAGCTTTTATCGGACTTTAAGCTCTCCATAGGCCTACTGACACATGATACTGTGTATTTTAAGCTCAGTATAGTGTGTGTGCTTAGCTTTAGGGATTTACGTGCTTATTAGTTATTTTGTTTCTATTATGTTCTCAACTGACCCTGATGGTCCTGTAACTTACATGCGTATGTTTATATCATCATCATCATTAGTAAATATTACTTCTGTGTTGTCATGCAACATTTGTATTTCATTGGCTATGTTCGGAATTGCATACTAGCATTGCACACTACTCTACTGCTATGATTTCTGCAGTATGCACTACCGTTTAAAGGTTTGGGGATAGTAAGATGTTTTGAAAGATGTCTTTAATCACCAAGGCTGCATTTATTTGATCAAAATACAGTAATATTGGCAAGAAATATTATTACAATTTAATGTAATGTAACATTTTTTTTTTATTTTAAAATTGAATGTTTAGCAGCCATTACGCCATTCTTCAGTGTCTCATGATCCCCTTAGAAATCATTCTAATATGCTGATTTTGTGATAAAAGATGTTGATTTATAATTGTTTAGTGATCAATGTTGAAAACAGTTGTGTTGCTAATATTTGTGTGGAAACCGTGATACTTTTCTGAGGAATCTTTGATAAATAGAAAGTTCAAAAAGGCATTTATTTGTAATACAAAACTTGTGTAACATTATAAATGACTCTACAGTATCTTCTGAACAGTTTAAAGCTTTCTTGCAGAATAGAATAGAAGAGAAAAGAAAAAAAGAAATGAAATCTTACTGACCCCGAACTTTTGAACAGCGGTGTAAATTGGCCACCACATGCAGATATTATTGCAGATTCTATTGGCAGAGAATACCCGAATACTCTACTATTTGGTCCAGATTTGCCAACAAAGCACACTGTGTGAAATACTGTATCCCACTATGTAATGCACTCAGATTTCCATGTGAAAATAAACTGGAAGTCATTTCATTAAAAAATCTTTAAAAAAAAAAAATCCCGATATGATAGCTGGATATCACTCACTAAATTCCAGAGGTCAAATTCGGCTGGTTAGCATGACCCAACTTTCAGCAGCCAAAAGTTGTCTTTCTCTATTGATGGGCATTAAAAACTAGACTAAATTGGCTGTTTTTATTTTTATTTTGTTATAACAGGTATTTTATCAGTGGCCATTTTCGGAAGGTCCTTTAAAACCTTTTAAAGGGATAGTTCACTTTGAAATTATTTTTTGATATGTTTTAGCTTACCTCAAGGGCATCCAAGATGTAGGTGTCTTTTTTTCCACAGTATTTTCAATTTTGACAATTATCAGTCATACACTGGCAGCTAAGGGGGTTCACCAAAAAGCATGCACAGAGAAGTTCAAATTAAACATGATTTAATGACTCGTAAATGTAAGTACACATTGATGGCCTAAGACACGAAACGAGCGGTTTTCATGAGAAAACGAACAGTGTTTATATCGCTTTTACTCGTGTAATCCAAGTGATCTGAATCAGTTGTGCAATGTCCAACTGAACCGAACTGAATCAGTTCAATGTTACGCCAGAAGTGATCGCTTGCGTGTGAGGTCACTTAATATATACACAGAGATTTCGGAAGTTTTACCTTTTACTAAACATATTAAGATATACCGAAATCATCTTCCATTGCGGTTTCCCGTAAATCTAAATATGTTTAGTGAAAGGTAAAACTTCCGAAATCTCTGTATAAACAAAAAGTTATGTAGGCGCGCAAGCGATCACTTCCAGCGCATGCGCAGACCGAAGCGCCCGTGCCGTCAGATCATTTTGTCATAGCTATGATTACAAGAGATAAAACGATATAAATACTGTTGGTTTTCTCCCACAAACCGCTCGTTTCGTGTCTTAGGCCGTCAATGTGTACTTACATGTACGAGTCATTAAATCATGTTTAATTTGGACTTCTCTGTGCATGCTTTTTGAGGTGAACCGATTGAGGACCCCCTTCACCTCCAGTGTATGACTGACAGACAACAACGGTTTGACCAAAAAATGTCAAAATTGAAAATGCTGTGGAAACAAAGACACCTACATCTTGGATCCCCTTGAGGTAAGCTAAAACATATCAAAAATTAATTTCAAAGTGAACTATCCCTTTAATATTGTTTTAAATAATTTAATTTTGCATTATTTTGGTGTCACCAGCCAGTCGGCATATTGTTTAAAACTATAAATTCAACGTATTAAACAATAATAATAAATCCAAAATGCAGTATACTATTCCGAAAGTTTGTAACACACTTTTTTTTTTTTTTTAACCTCCTGAACCCTAATAACTCCACACATCAAAAATAAAAGGAAGATGGCAACCACAGCGACCCCTGAGCCCCTTACTGCCCTCTCTCGGTGGTACCTATATGCCATCCACGGTTACTTCTGTGAAGTCATGTTCACGGCTGCCTGGGAGTTTGTGGTGAACTGCAACTGGAAGTTTCCCGGCGTGACGAGTGTGTGGGCGCTCTTCATCTACGGAACCTGCATCCTGATCGTAGAGCGCATGTATCTGTGTCTGCGGGACCGCTGCAATGTGCTTCTCCGCTGCATCATTTACACGTTGTGGACGTATCTGTGGGAGTTTGGCACGGGTTTGCTGCTTCGGCAGTTTAACGCTTGTCCGTGGGACTACTCTGAGTTTAAATATAACTTCATGGGCCTGATCACGGCAGAGTACGCCGTGCCTTGGTTCTGCGCCTCCTTTATCGTTGAGCGCCTAGTGATACGCAACACGCTCCGGTTGTGCTTCGACGAGGCTGTCGGGCCCGGCCAGGCTGAAGAACTGTCGGGCAGAGGCGGTGAGAGAAGAGCAGGGAGTGGGAGAAGAGGGGCCAGAGCTGGGGCAACCAGCACGAACGGCTACGTGAAGGGGGATTGAGGAGGTTTTCGACACCTTCCCCCTCCCCATCTCAAACCTCCCGTCACCCATGACTCTATCCGCACATATCGTGGTCTCTCTCCCACCTGCTTCCAGGGAAAGAGTCGCTAAGACACAGTTGAGACACTTGCACAACTGTGAGGAACTTTCTGATTTGATATAGATGGTCTTCGTTCACGTGGAGGGATGTTCATTTGCCACCTTAGTGCTCAACATTTACTGTCCTCACTTCGGGCGAGTAGCTATTAAGTTCAAGGTTTGTCAGTAGGAGTGGTGCCCGGTGGCAAAATGAGAATGGACACTCCACCTCTTCCACTATACCTCCCAAACCAGTCCATCCACTCCAGACTCTCTGGGAAGGGACAAACAAATCGACTTGTCGTCCAATAAAAACAAAACGCAGACACGTCACTTGAAAAGAGATATAGCCTACAGTATCAACGGTTTTAACAAAGCGAGTCCTTTTAGATTATAAACACGGTCCGTGATGTATATGTAGTTGGAAATGCAAATAACTGTTAGGATAAAAGCTTACCTTTTGAATGTTAGTTTGTGCTATTTATTAATATCTAAAATGTAGTTAAAGGAGCTGTATGTAAGAAATGTGCTTCAAATAATCAGAAAATCGCCCTGATATGTCTCTAGACATTAAGAAATCATGTTAATTTTAAATACTTATATCACTGACAACACTAGTCCAGCTTGGGTATTGTCATTATTGTCATACAAAGTGAAGTTGCAGCCCTCAACTGAGGTTGATGTTGTCATGTTGTGTTTTGGTCTGATGCTCCACCCTCCACCGACCTACCAATCACAAAGTCAGTAGTGTTGCAGCATCCGGGTTGCCATCTCTGCTGTAGTTACGCTGCTACAAATGTGTTGGTTAAAAAATGTTGGATCCTGCAGCTTATCTGGCAACCTCGAGTCAGGGGGGAGGGGATACACCGCTCTACAGTAATTTGAAAGTGATTGCAGTACCAGTCTTGGCCACAATCTTACATACGGCTCCTTTAAGAAATGATATAAATGTATTGTGTATATATATACTGTATAACCTAAAGCAATGCCTTGTACTTGAATTTGGTGTTTTTTTATATTCATCAAAATATTCAGTGCTTGAACGTGCATGAAAGTTGTCTTCCAGGAGATTTGTTTCATTCTGAGACTGATCTTCGATGTTGTGTACAATTTATTTCCTCCATTTTTTTTTTATTTATTATTTTCTCATGGAGATGAACACACAAAGGAGTACTGTATTGTTACATATATAGAGTCCGGGTGCTCAGCACTGAAACCATAAAACATCACAGTATCCTGTTTTTTCACTGGAGAGAATGTTATTGTGTGTTTATGAACTGGTGCTAGATCCTCATTGAGTCGTGTTGAGGGATCTGACAATGGTCACAATAAAGGCATTAATATGTAGGTTCACTGACCTCAGGTATGTCAATTTTAATTGTTTCACCTCCGTCTCTCATATGCCATTGAATAATGGATGAAAATTGAGAAGAATATTGTGGCAATTTTCACTTTGGTATTACCCGCATGGTTACAGTTAAAGGTTGTGGATTTGCCAGAAAGTTTTGCTTAACTGTATTGGTTATATTGTTATTGACCAACTAAAAATATATTAAAATCACCTATTTCTGAATGCAAGTCCTGTCAGATTTCCCTTCAATATTATTGGTTATAAAACATTTCTAAAGTGAAAAAGTCTTAGTATTTGTTTTAACCTTCTACAAAATGTGCAATATAAACATTACATGTTATTTTCATAGCTTTAGTTGTGCATCTGTTGTTTTGAACTTTATTGTAATGTCACAGCACTTTGCATGTTTGTCTTGTATGATTGTCAAATGTATACATTTTACATGATTATCAAGTACTGATGAATTGTGCTATTCTGCCCCCTTGAAATTTCACGTTCCTATTTGTAAGTGGTGTGCAGCTTTTGTGTTCCTGCTTTATCACACTTTTACTATAGTGTCATAATACCAGTCCCTCATACAAGGACCAGGTGCAGCAGAAATGGAGACGTTCCTGAATGCCATGTCTATGTCTGTTCCCCTTGGTCATGCATTCAGGCAATGACAATTTGTTGTTCGGAAGAACTGCAATGCAATGAAGTGCTGCAATGTGAGTTTCAATTGAATTTGTGATTTTAAGCAAATAACCTGCAACTCACACTTTCATACATTTGACAGTTGTTGTTTTTTTCAGTTAGTTAAAACAGTGATGGTTTTACATAGATTGTCAATGTTGATTGACTGTGGCAGTGACTGTGATCCTTCTCATGTAAGTAGAAACACAACAACAGGAGTACCACATTTATTGCAGACCAGACACTGAAGCCAATAAGCATTGCTTACAGCTGGGGTTTTCAATCTTTTCAATCATCATGTGAGGGACCTCCATTGATAAAAAAGGCACTTACATATTTTCATACAGTATAAAGAATTCACCAAGTGTACTGTATTTCAGGCCAAGCAACAAGTGTACAAGCAATGTAGGGTGTTTCTCAATCGAAAGGTCTCATCTTTTATGTCATCAAGCTCCATCAAAAAAGAAAAAGAAAAAAGAAAGATAAAAATAGATTTTGTTGTAAAATAATCACATAATGCTTAACTGTGTGTAGTGTAAAGATTGTTGCCATTTCCTGTACTGCATTCATATAAAGTCAGTTGCCATAAAGGACTTTATTTTCACTTACTAAACTGTAAGCCAACAAATAACTGAATGGACACACCCTCACTAGGTTGGCCTTCCTTTTTGAGATGCACCAGAACACTCAATCAGTAAAGTAACATATAAGAATGTATTATGTCTGTGTACTCAACATGCTCCGCGAGTTTTGGTTCCTTGCCACTGTCACCTTTTCTGCCTTTTTTCACCTTTGTTGCCATTGGCGTTTGGCTTGCTTAGTTGAGGACATTAAATTTAACATTAAATTTAAATTTCGCACAATATAGATCTGCCAGCATTGGCACCATTTTATAGAACTGAGCTGGACGATGACATCACGGTTTTCTCCAGAGCGCCTGTATAAATTAACTAAATTAATAACTTTTTTTTACAACAAAAATAAACATTACTGAACTTACTGTAGCCTACTGTGATGCTAATTTTTTTTTCTGGAAACAAACTTTGTTGCATTACTGTTGTCTGTCTTACCAGAAGATGGCGTCCGAGTTTACATTTAGTGGACTTTTGTGCAGTAAATGTATGGCAATTTTGGGTACAACCGGAGAAGTGCTATCTGACTGCATTTTGCTGTTGTGAATCATAGTCGTTCACGGTCAAAACAAGTAAGTAATATTTGAAGTAAGGCTACATGTGATTAGAGATGTCACGTTCAGTGCCCCATGAGCCAGACTGACTCCAGAAAGCGACTCGTTCAGTGAATGGTGTCAATTTTTTTTATAATAAACATATAGGTCATAAACATATTCAACTAACGAAAGGCTTCTTTACAGACTCTTCTAAATGAAACTGGCTACTGCTCGTCTTCTGAGGGCAGATAATCAAACGCCTCAGATTGAGGCCTTCGGACGCCTAATGTGGACGCTTGCCCTGCTCTGTTTTTCATCGAATACTTCGATAAACTCAGTGTTTCTCAACCCTAACTGATACTTGAAAGATGTTTACCTAAAAAATTCCCATATTCGTAGTAGGCTACCACAAAATCTTGCAAATGGCTACTTTTGTAATAGGTCTCAGATTTGAGCTTTTGTTGGGCTGCACTTTTGCTGATTGCTGACGCTTCTCGAATCAAACTCCAGCGGCGAAGCACTGTATTATTATTTTTTTTATGAGCGGTTATCTAATCGGTGTACTGAAATTGTTAAATGCAGGTTAATCCATAATAAATGTGATGCTGGGACATGATCGCTAGATGGCGTCGCACCACCACAAGAACCTGGATTGGAGGCTTTATCAACACGTTGAAGGTAATTGTTGCTTCTACTACCGCAGTTTCTACAGCTTGTTAAAAGTATAAAAATCATTATAAAATAATCTTATAAGAACCTTTTTGTCTTTTTCTTTTGTTCTTTATTTTGATGACAGGTATGATACCAAGTTATTATTGTTGTAGCCACCATGTAGTATAAGCCACGATTATATTCATACACTTTTGTCGTTTCAGGATTTTTTTTCAGGGTATATGGTATGTTTTGTTATCTTTCAGAGAATATGATATCTTTAGGCTGTGTGAGCTGTGTGTGTATTTCTGTGTCAGACTGGTCCACATCTCATATCCACGTCAGCTATAACCTACAATGGTTTGAATCTGCAGTTTATTATATGAACAAGACATCTTAGTCCATTTAGCCAGTTTTGCTTTCTATCAAGATACTAGAGACTTTAGGCCAGATTATACAATTTATGATAGTTTTTTCTTCTTCTTTCAATATCCATTTCAGAACTTCGGAAAATTTACCAGCTCATTTAGCTTCAGAAATGTACATTTAATCGTACGCTGTCACTTAATCCACACAATTCAGTTTAATCCATGTGTCACCATATATCATTGAAAGGCTTTTCAACCTATGTGCTCTCTTTCTTTTCTCCAGTTTCCTGCCCTTTTTTGTAGACTGTCAAAAATCCCTTGCGGCTATCTAAGGTGATTATGTGTCACCACAAATCCTTCATTTGCAATTTGGTAACTCTTCTCTCATCTCCTTTGATTGCAGTGACAGCTCACCTATGAGCTCACCTGACTGTGGTGGGTGTGGTCTACTTTAAAAAAACACCCAGGCTCCGCCTCCAGCAGCGACGCAGCCAATCATATGTCAACACTCCAAATATGGACAGGTCCTAACCCTTTAAGGCACAGGTGAAACATAAATAGCCTTTATTTCCTCCCAACATGTGTAGAGTCTCTCTGTCTGATTTCTGTGCTCTTTTTTTTTTTTTTAAATCCATTCCAACTTAATGAAGCAGCAAAGCGGCTCACAATCAGAGAATCCAGCTCAAACAGCTCCAGGAGGTTGGGTTGGGGGGAGGGTGTTAAATGAAGTGTGTTGCATGGGAACTGAGTCTGTGGGGAGGGGTATCACTACAGTATTCTTTAAACATGTCAGTCATCAAAGCTGTCGGAGAGCAGTGGAGCAGACGATGGCTTCATGCTGCATTTGAGGGGTGTGTGTCTAGAGCAGCCCATGTTGAATAGATCTGAGTGTCAAGGCTCAGATCCATTAATAAAGCAGGTTTAAAATGGAGAAACACCATATAAATCATACAATGGGAGGAAACCTGCTTTACAACTGGGCTCATGTTATGTGAGTTATTAGAGATGCAGAGTGATAGTGACCGTAGAAAAACTGGCTTGGTTTGAGACACTTATGCCTGTTTTTAAGGCATTTTAAAGGTACAGATCACCCAAAAAGAAAATTCTGTCATGAGCTCATCCTCAAATTTTTCCAAACCTCTATGAACTTCTTCTGCAGAACACAAAAGAAGATATTTTGAAGAATGTCGTCAATCAAACAGTTAACAGGCCCCATTGACTTCCATAGTATTTTTTTTTTAGAACAGTAAGTCAATGACTACCATCAACGGTTTGATTACAGACATTCTTCTGTGTTCTACAGAAAAAAGAAATTCATACAGGTTTGGGACAACTTGAGGGTGAGTAAATGACAGAATTGACATTTTTGGGTGAACTGTCCCTTTAACAAAAGACTAGTAGAGCAACTACATGACCTACATATTATCGCTTTACAGAATGGAACTCATTGATAAACCAGTTTTTCTTTTCTTTTTTTTTACCGACATGTGGTACACACAGTGATGGTAATGACAGTTTATAAACTGGCCAATGAGATTAATTATACACTTAGAGATAGAAAAGTTATTTAGAATAGTACAACACATCATAAATCATGTTAAAGCAGCCACAAGATTGTGGCCAAAACTGGTACTGCAATCACAAATTACTGGAGAGCGGTGTATCCCCAATCGACCTTTGACCTTACAATGTTGTCTGAACACCACTGACTTTAAAAAATATATCAGGATTTTATTTTTTGTGTATGTATCCTCTCTTCACGACAGTGAAAATATAGAGATGTTATGGTTTGTACATAGACTTTTCATTGTTAAAAACTGTTTAGGAAAAATAATAGTTTTTCATAGTTTTAAAAACCAAACCTCATAAAAAAAATATTTATACGTTGTTTAACATTTTAGTGGATTCATATCGATTTATATGATTTGATCCATTCAAAAACAAAAACGTATGATTTTTTTTTTAAAACAGTAAGCCATTTAAGGTCCACCCATAAAACTAACCATTCGGGCGCAAGCAGATTATACGAAAAAAGTATAAATTAGATTAATTAAAAAAAAAATATAGACCCAAATGTAAAATTACAAATTGCCATGAGATTGTGTTCACACTGGGTTAATTCATGTTGTACACCCTTGTCAATAGAGTTCTCTGGAGCCAGGCCTCATAACCCAGGGTTAAATGCTGCGTAACCCTGAATGTTAATTAGGCCTTAACATGGGGTTTAAAAAGATTGTATGTAAGGGTTGAGTGTACCGTGGGTGATTACTTTAATATTTTACTGCAAACCTCCATTTTTTATTTTCCTCGTTGGCTCCTTCAGTTTTTTTCTCCACATGAAGCCCAAATCGTTCGCCAATAATGTGATTTTCAAAGCCAAAACAAACAGTTATGACAGTTTTTTAAACGGTGGACAGCTGTACCTCTCACTCTGGCTTGTCGCTGTTATGTAAACGGCCATCGCTTATCTCCCACTCAGCTTTGCATAACGTTACACAGAGGTTTCCCACACTGCTTTGCATTTTTACCAGGGTATTTGAGCAGCAGGCTATTTGAGCAGCAGTTTTCTTTCTCTTTTTTCAGATAAGAGCAATAACTTTCCCCTCATTTTTCTTTCTGGTTTATGTATCTTCTGTTAAATTTAGTGCTTTGCTGCTTGAGGGTAAGGCTTCTGTGTAAACATTTAAGCAGATGCCAAGTGGTTGTCAACCGCTGTCACATCTCAGAATGACTCTTATAGATTCCATAGCTCCAGTACGATGTGTGTGACAGAGTAGATGAGGATGGGGAAGAGGAATTTGCACAAGCATGGATGGAAACCTTGTTTTATCTCTGCGCGGTGTGATTTAAAGGAGGCGGTCTCTTCATTCGCTATCTTGCAGATAATGTCAAAGCTACCGCCTTGTAAAAATAATCCTCAATGTTGATGGCAAATTTAAACCAATGGTTCCATTTTAAAATTATACCCTCATCTGTGGAACACAGAAAGAGATATTTTGAATGAGCTGGTCACTCTTTTCCATGTAATTACCATAAACGGAGATCTGAGCTTTCAACCTTCAAAATGGCACACAAAAATAATCTATATCCGGGAGTCCAATCCTGCTCCTGGAAGGCCACTGTCCTGCAAAGTTTAGCTCCAACTCCAATTAAACACACATGAACCATCTAATCAAGGCCTTTCTAGGCAAATTACAAACTTCCAGGTATGCGGGAGCTAAACTCTACAGGACAGTGGCCCTCCAAGAGTTTGTACACCCCTGGTCTATATGATTAGTCATACCACATGGCCTTGAATTAAGAATTTATTCCCATATTTTAGTCAAAATTTAGTCATGGTTCAACTAAATTAAAACTAGAGAACAAATTAGTCCAACGTGGCCTCAAGTTAACTAAAATAAATTAATAAAACAAGGCCACAAATGAACAAATCATGGAAATGAATCCTTAATTCGTGGCCACAATAGCTATTTTTTTCTTTTGCATGTATCGTGTGGGAAACAGGTCAACATTTTAGTCAATATTCAATGAAAACTCTTGAACTCCATTGAGCTGTTCATTTTTGCAGCCACTTCAAGTCAACTAGTTTACCTTGAAAAAACAAGTCAAAACAATGATTTATTAACAAATTTGACAGCTCTAATCATGAACTCGCTTCAACGTGCCAATTCAATTTCAAGATGTTCAGGAAATAATGATTTAATCTTTGGCCCAAAGCCATTGTATAGCTTTAGAAAGACTTAAAATAAGCACAAGAGTTGTGTGTTTACTACAATTATCCTACAAGTATCCTTTTAGCAGCTTGAGAGAGTCGGGTACACTTTTTCTAAATCCATCTTTTGCGTTCCAATAAAGAAGAAAAATCATACGGATTTGGACATTAGAGTTTTCATTTTTTGGTGAACTAAAACCTGACTCGCTCTTTTTGTTGCATGTCTGCGCTAAACATCTGTAGTACTGTTGGTTCGTTTCTCAGCCTCGCTCCGTTTCAGAATTCAAAGACTTTTCCAGACTTTTTTAAATCCCAAACTTGTAAACCACACTAAAGCTCTCCAGGTACTGTGCAGAAAGTGTGAATTATGGTAATGGCTCCTGGCAGGGGAGAAAATAAGTGCAGTTATTAAAATGAATAGCTGCCGCTCATCCTGCGGTCCAGACCCCAGGCAGGGGTGGAGAGCCAGGCCTCTCAACTTTCTTCCGTCCCGTACCTACACTTCCATCAATGTTGTATGTGTCTTCCCATTACATGTCAAAGCCCCCTCTCTCCGGACTTTTCCGTGGTTGGTTTGGCTCGGCGCAATGGCATGGTTAGGCCATTTGCCAGGTACTTGACGGCCCATGGCCCCATTCTGCCTAACGTCCTTAACAAGCTCCATAAGACTGCCGACGGACCCAGTTTGTTCCTGAAGAACAAATCCACCCCCATCTTTGGCCTTTGAAGTGGGAATACCAGTATTTGGTATAACCTGACGTCATAAAACCCAAAAGTCAATCTTGGCTCAATAGGCTTAAACTTTGTTTTTTGTCTCCATTTTCCGAAACATTTCTCCAAGTCTCTCAAAGTTCCCGTCACACACCATTTTTATTTATTTATTTTTTGTCCTAATGACAGATTCAAGCCGTAAGACATTAATCCCAACCCTTTAAGTTGAGCAACAGTGCATGTGAGAGCAGGTAACAGATTTGCTTGTTCCGCTCTAGGCTATCCAAACGGTTGGTACCAAACAGCTGTACCGGTATGTTTTCTTTGATAGTCAAAAGGTCACGTCGAAAAGATCAGTTTACTTATTTTTCCCATATCCACAGATCATTTATCGAATGAACTGCAGGAAGTCGTTAGTTTTCGTTCGGTTCAGTGGAACTAGATTAGTTGAAATATATTATTACTACAATAAAGATAAAGGTATTGGTTATGTTTTTTAATGAACTACGGATGGGCGTCTCCTTCAAAGCAGCTGCTAGCTGTACAAACTTTATGATTAGTATCCAAGATTTAAGTGTAATGGGTGTGTGTGGTTTTAATAAGGTATTAAGGCAAACAGCTGGCAGTTGTGAGATCTACTGTATGCATTTGTTTCCACAAAGAGCATCCAAACCAGCCCTTGACGGGAAATGAATTTCGAGGACTTAAGAGCATTAACCGTGGCATTAGACGTATTGACTGAAGTGTGTGACTGTGCATCAACCATCGCTCTTACTTTATTGTATTATTTCAGTGTGGTCCGATCCTGATTTAATCCAGATTTTAGCTGCGTACAGGGATACAGAGTGAGGTGCGAGCGACGATGAGGCCTGAGGACAGAGTTACGGTATAGCGGTCTTGGTTGGGGTGTTCGGTGTAAGAGCACACCGCCGGGGTGTACGATGCAGTGTGAACCGTGTTATTGCAGGTGTGTGCGCATATTACATCTGATTATGAAATATGTGAGACGTTTCACTACCTCTGTTTTTTCAACTGCTCGGTCGGTGTTAAAGTGGCCATTTGAGGCTTTAAAAAAAGCAGTGAAATTTCCGCTCCTCGCATGAGAGCTGCAGAGAGAGAGAGAGAGAGAGAAAATGTGTG